CTCCTCCTCCTCCTCCTCCTCGATTGTACTGGGGATTGACTCACGGCTTCATGCCTGTAAGGCAAGTGTTCTACAGTGAACTACATCTGCAGCTCTCTTGCTCCACCCCAGCTTTTACTTTTCTTGCTGAAACAAGATCTCAGTAAGTTGTCCAAGTTGGCCTCAACTTGTGATCCTCCTGCCTTAGTCTCTAGAGTAGGTAGGGTTACAAGGATGTATCTCTACTGTGCTTCCAGTTGTCATCTCTTTGAAATGCCATCCCCCACATTCATGAAGACATGATTTTCCTCTTTACCTTCTTAGCCACCGTTTTCTCATTCTGATAGAATCCCTGAATAGGATTCTCTGAGCAAACTTAGAAGACAGTCTGATGGTGGTAAAATTGTCCCCTCCTGGCACTTTCTGAAAGCATCTAAACTCTAAATTCAAGTAAGTTGTAAGATAGAAAATATTTATAGGCTTGCCTAGAAATATTCAAATATCTAAAACATTTCACAGAGAAATGCATTTTGTCTTCTAAACAAAGAGATTATATGAAATCATTTGGAACATAGTTATTAAAAAGCTGCTGATATACATTGAAGTCAAAGACAAAATGTAAATGATTGACTTGATTATCTTCTGTGTTATATATTACATTTACTATTTCCATTAGCAAAAAAAATAGTAAAAACGAAATGTAATAGAAAGGAATCATCAATTAGATTTTGCTTTTTAAGATATAAAATTTTAAAAAAAACTAATTGTGTTCCTGTTTTGGAACAATGCATTTATCTCTACTCATAATGGCATTATCTGTTTTACAAGCTAAGATGTTATTTATAATGAAGAAAACAGTGAAGCAATTATAATTGCAAATTGTAAATAAAACATTTATTCTAATCATCATTAAACACAAATAAATATGCAATTTCAAGATACAATTAAATATAATAAGAGCAGTGCTTTATGAAATACAAATGACATACACACCCTTGAGTAAAATTTGCATATTTTAAGGTACATTTTAACCATTTACAATTGATATAATTTCTATTTATAATTAAATAGGCTCTTTAAACTATCAACACTGTAAAAATGGAATAATCAAAGAGCCCTTCAGGTTGTACATTAATGTAATCAACCTGTGGAAATTTGAATTTGGAGTAAAAATTTCCACTATGTTAATCTAGCATACATACTATGCCATGCACCTGTTCACAACATATTGCTGGAAAGTATTATATGGTAATGAATGGGTAAGCAAACTAGAAAGGAGTATATGATGGAGAACAAGGCATTATGTACAAGGTGCATACAATGAGAGCAGCACACTGAAACTGATTTTCACTTAAGCATAGCAAAGAGCTGGAAAGCTATTCTTTAAAAAATATCGGATTAAGAAATGCTATATTGGCCCATTTGTTGATTGGGTTATTTGTTATCTTATTGTCTAATTTTTTGAGTTCTTTGTATACTCTGGATATTAGGGCTCTATCTGAAGTGTGAGGAGTAAAAATTTGTTCCCTGGATGTAGGCTCCCTATTTACCTCTCTTATTGTTTCTCTTGCTGAGAAAAAACTTTTAGTTTAAGTAAGTCCCATTTGTTGATTCTTGTTATTAACTCTTGTGCTATGGGTGTCCTATTAAGGAATTTGGAGCCTGACCCCACAATATGTAGATCGGAGCCAACTTTTTCTTCTATCAGACACAGAGTCTCTGATTTGATATCAAGCTCCTTGATCCATTTAGAGTTAACTTTTGTGCATGGCGAGAGGAAGGGATTCAGTTTCATTTTTTGCATATGGATTTCCAGTTTTCCCAACACCATTTGTTGAAGATGCTATCCTTCCTCCATTGCATGCTTTTAGCCCCTTTATCAAATATAAGATAGTTGTAACTTTGAACAGACACTTCTCAGAGGAGGACATACAATCAATCAACAAGTACATGAAAAAATGCTAACCATCTCTAGCAGTCAGAGAAATGCAAATCAAAACCACCCTAAGATACCATCTCACTCCAGTAAGATTGGCAGCCACTATGAAGTCAAACAACAACAAGTGCTGGCGAGGATGTGGAGAAAAGGGTAATCTTGTACATTGCTGGTGGGACTGCAAATTGGTGCGGCCAATTTGGAAAGCAGTTTGGAGATTCCTGGGAAAGCTGCGAATGGAACCACCACTTGACCCTGCTATTGCCCTTCTCGGACTATTCCCTGAAGACCTTAAAAGAGCATGCTACAGGGATGCTGCCATATCGATGTTCATAGCAGCACAATTCACAATAGCTAGACTGTGGAACCAACCCAGATGCCCTTCAATTGATGAATGGATAAAAAAATGTGGCATCTATACACAATGGAGTACTATGCAGCAATAAAAAATGACAAAATCATAGAATTTGCAGGGAAATGGATGGCACTAGAGCAGATTATGCTTAGTGAAGCTAGTCAATCCCTAAAAAACAAATACCAAATGTCTTCTTTGATATAATGAGAGCAACTATGAACAGAGCAAGGAGGAAGAGCAGGAAGAAAAGACTAACATTTAACAGAGACATGAGATGGAGGGAAAGGGAGAGAAAAGGGAAATTGCATGGAAATGAAGGGAGACCCTCATTGCTATACAAAATTACATATAAGAGGTTGTGAGGGGAATGGGAAAATAAACAAGGAGAGTAATGAATTACAGTAGATGGGGTAGAGAGAGAAGATGGGAGGGGAGGGGAGGGGGGATAGTAGGGGATAGGAAAGGTAGCAGAATACAACAATTACTAATTGGGCATTATGTAAAATTGTGGATGTGTAACCTATGTGATTCTGCAATCTGCATTTGGGGTAAAATTGGGAGTTCATAACCCACTTCAATCTAATGTATGAAATATGATATGTCAAGAGCTTTGTAATGTTGTGAACAACCAATAAAAAAATAAAAAATTAAAAAATTAAAAAAAATAAAAAAAAAGAAATGCTATATTTTTTGTGTACCTTGGCATGAGTCAACCATATTGCCTCTATCAAATGTTAATGATAGTTTTATACAAGAGTATGACATAGAATAGATCGTCAGCGGTCTCCTTGGTATCTGTCTGTCTCTGTCTCTGCCTCTGCCTCTGCCTCTGATTCCATCTCTGTCTCTGCTTCTATCATAGAAGGGGATGCACCACTTCTTCTTAGAAACTAGATTGGTATTTTCCATGAAGCACTAATTAAGCCTTTTCTTAGTGTCATAACCTTGTACTGCTGACTATAGGAGAATACTTTTCAGCAACCTTTATTGTTTTTATGTCATCTCAGTGTGAGACAAGTACAACTGTGTAAGCAAGGCACATTACTTTCCTTCATGGAACTTAAAAATTTATTGGGGCTCCTGATACATGAATAGTGGTTGCAATTCAGTTTGATAAACACCACAACAAAGGGAATAATTGACAGGAAAAGATGTAAAAATTGTGTGACAAGAGAAGCTATAAGATTCATTTAACCCAGCATTGCTGTAGAGTTGGAGGTCAAATTTGATTGCCTGGAGTTTAAAAGGCAAAAATAAATAAAATAATATGGCTTAATTAAAATACTTCAAATATAAAAACAAGGAGTCATTTTTGCGTCTCATCTATCCATTTATTTATTTACATGTTTTTCTAGTTTCAACCTGTGCCACTGTTGAGTTCCGCTGTGCAGATGGGACTTGCATTCCAAGATCAGCACGATGCAACCAGAACATAGATTGCGCAGATGCTTCAGATGAAAAGAACTGCAGTAAGATATTCCATTACCTTTTGTTTGTTCTTGCCTGGACACCTTTGGCATTGAGTTGAATACTATCCAATTTTTTACTGAGCCTCATCCAGAATTGATATATAATTAACCCCTGTTGTGTGAGATAATTGCATATTTATTTCCTCAAATGAAGTTCACATTTCTTGCATTCTCTGACCTACATAGAAGGCTTATAATCTTTGCAAATGAGATGTTTCGGTTTTTTGTTTACATCTTTCTAGATAATACAGACTGCACACATTTCTATAAACTTGGAGTGAAAACCACAGGGTTCATAAGATGTAATTCTACCTCACTGTGTGTTCTGCCAACTTGGATATGCGATGGGTCTAATGACTGTGGAGACTATTCGGATGAATTAAAGTGTCCAGGTAATTCTAGGAAGTAAAATCTTTGCCTTGATGATTGAAGAATACCTAATTGAATAGAATAAATTTCTTCTAAAGATTTAATCATTGAGGCTGGGATTGTGGCTCAGAGGTAGAGCACTTGCCTAGCATGCATGGGCACCAGGTTCAAACCTCAGCACCACATAAAAATAAAATAATGGTACTGTGTCCACCTATAACTAAAATACAAATGTTTAAAGAAAAGATTTAATCATTGAGAATAAAATTTAAATAATATAGACTAAAACATATTCTATTCTAAGTATGCTATTTGATCTCTTTAAATGAATTATAATATAAAATTCAAGAAATCTGTCCTAAGATCTCTTCTTACATGGTTTTTTGATGTTTCCTTCCTCATTATTCCTTTTAAAATTGGTGATTTCATCTATTTTTTTGTGTAGTTGGACACAATACCTATTTTTTATCAATTTATTTTTACGTGGTGCTGAGGATCGAACCCAGGGCCTCACACGACGGCTGAGCCACAACCCCAGCCCCTGGTGATTACATATTTAAGATGTGTAATCTATAAAGCATCAGCAAAAATGTTATAAACCTTGACTTAACTATTGATAGACTAACAAGAGGGATACTGTTTCTCACTACTGACTTTGCTCATGTTATATAGCATGTGTGAGACTGTTGATACAGTTTACATAATTTTTGGCATAATAGTTCAGGTAATAGTTATCATTTTTGGATCAAGATCAGGCAGCAATATTTTGTATCTGCCTATGAACCATCTTTACCTATATTAGTTCTGAAAAGTATTTTCTGACTTCTTAGAAGAAGGCCTTCTATGAAAATGACTTGAGCGATCTATTTGAGGGTACTGAGATTTTAAAAAGATTCAGAAGAGAAAGGTGTTCATTGCATAAAACTGGCACTTTTGAATTTGGACTCAAACTACTGTTAGCCTTTGCCTACCCTGCCAAGAGTCACTTTTCCATATTTAGTTGGTATATAATTTTTAAAAATATTTTAAGAAATTATATTTATGAGAATTTTGTATACCAGTTTGTATTTATATAAACAGGTAAATATAAACTACTAGGAAAAACTGATACTTAGGATAGTTTATGATTTATTCTCTGATACCTTTGTTTCAGGCATTTTGGTTTAAAAATTGTTAATTGCATCTTTAGAGAAAGTGGGAAAAAATTCTTTGGTGGCACTGACTGTATCTCGTGACAGTTCTTCCACATTAAAAAAAAAATCTTGTTTTTAATCATGCAAATACTTTTTAAATATAGAATTTTATTACTTTGGAATCATGGATCCTGTGTGTCATGATTATTAATCTAATGTGTTTTTCATAATAATACATTTTCCTTTTTGTTTGATACTGGGGATTGAATATTGAATTTAGGGGCACTCTACTACTGAGCTACTTCTCAAATTTTATTTTTTATTTTCAAGATAGGGTCTTGCTAAGTTGCTAAAGCTGGTCTTAAACTTATGAGTCTCCAGTCTGAGCCTATTGAATTGCTAAAATTACAGGCATGTACCACTGTGCCTGGCATAATGCATTTTCTTTACTAGGGCTGTAATTAATTTTCTTTTCTTCTTCTTCTTTTTTTTTTTTTTTATTTTGGTATAGGAGATTGAACTCAGGAGCACTTAACCATTGAGCAACATCCCCAGCTATATTTTGCATTTTATTTAGAGACAAGGCTTCACTGAGTTGCTTAGCACCTGGCTTTTGCTGAGCCTCGCTTTGAACTCCCAGTCCTCCTGCCTCAGTCTCCCGAGCTGCTAAGATTACAGGCATGAACCACCGAGCCTAACAATAGTTAATTTTTGAAATTATCCTTAAAGCACCATATAATAGAAATTTGTTAAACTGGCATTTCATTTTCTTTTTCATATCCTTTGTCTCTTTCTAGGATTAACAAATAATAGAGTAAGCTTTCAGCACTTATAAACAATTGTGATTTTTACATTGGGTAAGAAAGAAAGGGACACTCATGCTGCTTTATGAGACAGGTAGGCACAGGCAGGAAGCCAGAAATAGGTCAGTCAAGACAGTTTGGATGGCGGGCACAGTGGCACACGCCTGTCAGCCTCAGCAAAAAAAGGCTCTAAGGAACTCAGTGAGACCCTGTCTCTAAATAAAATACAAAATAGTGCTGGGGATGGGTCTCAATGGTCTAGTGCCCTTGAGTTCAATCCCTGGTACTGAAAAAAAAATATTTTGAATGATATCTAGGAAGCTGCCTAAAAAACCTTAGTTATTGTTAAGAACTCTCAAGATCTTTTGATTTCATGATAAATTTACTAAAAAATGAATTATTCTCCTTTTCAAAATATATCATAGGGAGACTTTTTATCTTAAAACATTCATTATGGGATATCATAGTGTGATTGGCACGTATACTCTAAGGTTGGCTTCCTGATAGGCTGTGGATGTGGGCCAGGCTATGGAAATCTGAAGGTATGAGAGAAGAGATGACATTAAGTACAGAGAAAAATCCAGTATTTTATATGCTCTTTTGGAAGCAGTAGTAAAAACAACTTTGTAAGTTTTATAAATTACATTTTACAAATTAATTTTATGTACAGAATTTTTATTCTTGTAACATTTTTTATAGTATCATAAATGTCATATTTATTTATTTATTTTTGGTACTGAGTTTGAAGACTTGCTAAGCATACACTGTCTTTTAGCTATACTCCCAACCCTATAATAATCTTAAAAGAGATTCTGCTTTAACATGTTTTATTCCCTAAAAATAGGGAATATTTGCTTAATTTCTATCAAAGCAGATTCAAAATAGCAGGCAGTAGAAACACTAAATCCATATTCATTCAGCAAAGATCTAAGATCTACCAATGTTTTAATTTTGTTGTTTATGTTTATTCTTCATAGGAAATTAAGAATATTTTCCATGAAAACATGATTCTTTGTTTTTAGACTCATTTACTTGAGAGTCAGTCATATCAGCTCTTTTTTTTTTTTTTTTTTTTTAGAGGGCGACTTGGGATTGAACTCAGGGCACTCTATATCCCCAGCCCTATTTTGTATTTTATTTAGAGTCAGGATCCCACTGAGTTGCTTAGCACCTCACTTTTGTATAGGCTATCTTTTGCAGAGGCTGCCTTTGAACTCACGGTCCACAGCCTCCCAAGTCTCTGGGATATCAGGGATGCACCACTGCACCTAGCTCTTTTTTCCTTTTTAACTCCATCATCTAATCTCCATACTACGTAATTTAAGCAGTTTTTATGTGGTTAAACTCTTTGTTTCAGGACCCAGTCCTGAAATTGATGTTATTAGTATGTACTCCCAGTCTCCTCTGGTCTGTGATAGTTTCTTAGTCCTCTGGTTTTCAGAACTCTGGCATTCTCCAGGAAAACATCACAGATATTCTTTGTCCATTTGCTTCAAATGTATCTTTTCCAGTTCTAGAAGTATTAATGTTTTATCTACATATATTGAAGAAATTTAAAATTAATTTAAATTAACATTACATTCTATATTTTGTCACAGTTCAAAACAAACACAAATGTGAAGAAAATTATTTTGGTTGTCCTAGTGGAAGATGCATTTTGAATACCTGGATATGCGATGGTCAGAAAGACTGTGAGGATGGGCTTGATGAATTCCACTGTGGTGAGGATTTAAGTCTTGCTTTACTTGATGAACTGTATTATGATTTACATGTTGATGTTCTCTTGCATAGGGATGTAACACAAAATGTTTTAACAGACTTTGATGTCAATTTTCACTTTTGTTAAATAAAACCAAAATGATAAAAATTAAAGTAAAATGAGGAAATTATAATGAGAAGTAAAATTCTCCCGTTGCAATATCTTTAAAAAAACTTTCTGTTGAATTGCTTCCTCTGCCAATCTAAATAATATATGTACATCTTCTTTTCCTGATATATTGACTTCAGGTGGAATTAATATATGTGCTTTGTACTATGAAAAAATAAGGATTTGACCTACACGATGCACGATACTCCTTTCTGGCATTGGAAATTATTATTATTTGAAATTCTGCAGATAACTTGAAATAATATCCTTAAGTTTCTATTTACTCAAACATTTATCCTTACCTTCTAATTTCTCTGTATGTATACTTTATTTCACATTGTCAAGATAAAAGAGCCTTTTAAATTATATTTTATAAAATTTATGGATTTTGTGTTTTTTTTTCAGGCCAAGGAAATGTTCAGTAGGAAAAAGCATATATTCACTTTTAACACAAATGATATACACTGTGATGAGTAGACAGCGTAGAAAAAAAGATTTAAAATGGATCTTCCATGAAATGTCAAACTCCTCTGAAAGTAAATGTCATTGTGAAATGAGGAAATACATTTCGTTTGGTGAAGATCTTATATATCTTTACGTTAGAGCCAGATTCTGAATAAATCTAACAGAAAACTTCAAAAATAGTTTCTGTGGATTTGTAATCCTCAATAGGGAACCATTATATGATTGTTTCTTCTTTAATTTTGTTTCCCAGGCTTTAGTTTTCTAAATTTTTCACTTTTTATATATCATCTGATTAAACATTTCAGTGAAAATGCAATTGTTAAATATTCTTTCAGACTAAACCCAATATTGTTATTTTGACAATAATTTGCATTTTAAACAATGTAATTTGAGAGGACTTTATTTTGAATGATCCCTGTTGATAAATATGATGGGTGGAGGAGGACTGTGGGGGTAAACAAAAGCAATAAGAACTGATATTGGGAAAAAATGTAGTATCTTATTATTGTAAAAATCCTGTATGAAAAAAATCACTATTCCTATGAGTTTGGGTCTTTTTAAGGAAGTGATATATAAACTTCAATGTGTTAAGTACATATAAGCATAAAACTTTTGATTTGTTTTCAAACTAAAACCTCCTTAGCTCACTTTTAAAACAAACATATTTGGTCTGTCCACCCCATTGTTGCCTTGTTTAACATGTATTTTTTTTTCTTTGTTAGTTTAAAAATAGATTAAAGTTAAAAAGGATTACTAAATGAACATGGAATATATATTTTATGACTGCATCCCACACATTTTTAGAGAATGACAGTTTGGAATATAGTTAAAGGTGAATAGTCAGCCTAGTGAAAAGTTCAAAGGCAAGTCCTATGAGAACAGTGTTGAAGGAACATGGTGTGTAACTTGGAAACAGAGGGAATATGCAAGCCGTTGTCAAAATTTTATGTAGAGTTGTCACAGGGAAGAGGAATTTGGCTTGTTTAAGGGCTGATTTTAGAAAAGTCTAAGAAAGAGCTTTCTCATTGTGTAGTCTGTTCTAAGATAATCTTAGCCATTTTTTTCTTCTTTACAGTTGACCCATAATACTTATACATATTTATTGGGCACCAGGTGATATTTTGATATATGTACACATTGTTATAATGTTCAAAGAGAATAGGCATATATTTCTTTAAGCAAATTCATTTCTTGATGGTGAAGACATTCATACTTATTTCATTTAGCTTTTTAAAAATATATAGTTCATTATCCTTATATGTACCTACTGTCCACTAGTACACCAGAGCTTATGTCCCTTAGCTGTTCCACCTAAAGTAAGCTGCTTTTTTTGTTTTCTAGATTCTTCCTGCTCTTGGAACCAGTTTGCTTGTTCTGCACAAAAATGCATTTCTAAACACTGGATTTGTGATGGAGAGGATGATTGTGGGGATGGATTAGATGAAAGTGACAGCATTTGCGGTAAGTAGTTCCTTTTGTGTTCTCAGTTTTTAACCACTTAGAACACTCTTTGCTGTCTTTGTTTTCTTATCTATGAAACATCACTAAATTTATAAGACATACTTATTGTTTTAATAGTAATCTTTTGTTTTACGTATATATACAGTTATATTTAAGATTTTTTCTTAATATTACCACAATTAATTTTTTTTTTACTTTTATTTCTAGTTTTCAGTGACTCCTTTGTAGTAAATCCAATGATTAAGATTGTTGGATCAAATGGTCAAATGTTGGGTGGGGATGTGGTTCAGTGGTAGAGCACTTGTTTATCATGCACAAACCCCTGAATTTAGACTTTGGAAACACACACACACACACACACCCACACACACACATAAGGACATAAGAGGAACCCATACTACCACAAATAACATATGTTGTTTCTGTACATCTCTGTGTGTTTTATACCGATTTGTTTTAAATAACAGGTAAAGGAAGGTGACCGCTATATAAGATTTTAAAATGTAATTTTGAATTCAGCCTATTAGAACTGGAGGTAGCAGTTTCAAACATCTATATTTGCCTATTGTATGTCAACTGCAAACACAATGAAATTGCTTTTTAATAATCACAAACATTTTATAGTTTAAGTGGAATTATTAAGTGAATTTCTTAAGGAGTAAAAGAAGAAAGGGAACTAATAGTGTCCACAAATTTATTATAATTGTTCAGTCTACTAATTTATTAACATGTCTATCAATCTGTGTGTTCCATTTGTTTGTACGTCTTTGTAGTTATAAGTATAAATTCTTCAGTAATTAATTTCATCCTGTTGAGTAGCTTGTTAATTGAGCTCATTTTAGAAAGAGAAGGACCTGAATCACAGGATAAGGTGCATAGAGATAAGCACATTTAGCATCTTGTTCAGATTTCAGTTGTGGTCTGCTGTGTAGGTCATGGCCACACAGAGAGTACTTTATAGTACTTGGGCTACACTCAATTTCCCTGTAAATAATATAAAATTGGTGATAACTTCTGAAAGCAGACAATTTATTTTCTTGTCTTTAAGCCAATGGAAATTTACCTTTTCTTTATATAGCTAAAATCATCTGGAGTTATTTGTAAGACAAATAGAAATGTAGAATGATCGGTATCAGAGAGCTTTGAACATGAGAAAACTTAATAATCAATTAGATGACTGCTTAGCCTTTTTCTTTTGTTGCTATTTGCTATTAAATTTTTAATTTTAACAAGAAAACTTACCAATTTTTAATGGGATACTCCTGTTTCCAGTGATTAACTCATCATACTTGTGACCCTCTGTTAAGCCTGTAGTTCATGGCTGCATTGGTAACAATGGGCTTTCTGAGTAGTCTCTATGTAACAGAAGAACCAAGACTCTGAGGTTATACAGTTTAGACTCTTAAATGTTAATGATTATTGAAAAGCAATTACAGTGTGTTTGTAATTGGCATATAGTAGACAGATACTCACATTTACACTAATATCTCCAATTCTTTGTTCTCCCATGTGTGTTTTCAAGCTGTAGGATTTTGGGAAGCTTAACTTCATTGCCTATTGCTGGGGTTACTTACCTATTAGATACAAAAAGATTTACCTATGTACCTGTTTGTGATTATTTAACAGACCAGTGTGCATTGTATCCACAGGTTTATTGCCATTCTTTTTTGTTTACATATTCTTGCCTCCTTCCTTTTGTCAAAGTGCTGTTGTCATGTCTGAATGTATGTCAGGAATAATGCTTCTAAAATGATCATAAAATGATAATGGACATGTTTGTCAATCATCAAAACACTGAATCTATTAATTTATTTACACATTATATTTTATATACCAACTACAAATCTAATACACTGTATAATCTACTTTAGATTAAACCTCAATTAACAAACTAAATCTAGTATTTTTGAATAGGAAAGGAACCTCACAAATAATTTATGTCAGTAGGCCCCAACATTTATTGTTCAAAAGATCCTTCTAAAATGCCTGTTAAAAATGTAGCTTCTCAATCAGGTGTTCTGATGGGCAATGCGTATATATATTCTTTAATACATAATGATCCTGAAATGGGATATTGAGGATTGCATTTTAGAAAATGATTGTCTAATCTACCTCCATCTTTTGATAAGTGGAAAAGAGAAACACAGAGACAAAAAAAAAAGTGGACTGAAGTTAATTAGCTAACTTAGTAATGACAGAGGTAAAACCAGAATTTAAGATTTCTGAAATAGTAAACAGGGTAGTGACTCTTACCAATTGATGTTTGCTATTGAGTAAGGACATAAGACAGATCAAGTGGAATTCCATTAGCTTGTCCTTCTTCTCCCTTGGGATTCTTTTCCCCGAGGAAGATGATGTGTCTCCAGATGGTAGTACCAACTGTGGAATGAAGCCATGAATTTTTTCCCTTGGTCCATTTTCTTTTCAATTGACTTCAATGTGTTGGCATGTTCTTAATGCAGAATATGTTGAACACTATCACGGGAGACAACAAATTAGCTGTAAAGAACCTTATGCCATTTTATAGCAGGAGAGATCTTTGTAATTATGTAGTCATACCCCTCATTTTAAAGACAGGAAATTCAGACATCAGCCTCCTTCAAGGTTATGCAGAGTTAGATTTCTCCATGGCCAAATCAGTACTTCTCTATTATGACTACCTTGGGAACAAATTGAAAAGATAATAATGGAAGGTATCATGGAGGTTCCACATTGATCAAAACTTCCTTAGTAGAAAAATGTGGTTAAAAAAATCTCAAGCTCAGTAATGCAGAAATTAGAACATTGAATTGAGAATATAATATTGAAAATGACACTTTATGTTCTTCGAGCATGCTTCGAGATAATAAAGAGTTATAATAGAAAAATAATTTCTGTGAGAGAAGAATTTTATTAGAGAAGCTAATAAAGACAAACTATTTAGCAGGAAAATTCTTTTTTAGATAAAGGGAACATTTACTTAATGATTATTTTCTGATTTCTTCCAGTAAAGTTAAACCTCATTCTGTTGCAGCATTGACCCTAAATTAAATGAGTAAATCTGAATCACCTGGGGAATTTTCAATATACTATTCTTCCTGTCCTCCAAAAGAAGTATATACCAGGGACAGCCACGTTTATGCGGGAGAAGATCCCCAGGGCTTGGTTTTTTTATTTGTTTTATCTTTTTTTTCCCCCTAGGGTATTTTATTTTGGCAAACCCCTGTTTATCAATTTTGAAAGTATTGTTTTGGAAAGCAGTTTCTACTCATAAAAACTGTATGACTGAAAAGTAAGAGGCTAATAATCATTTAATTAAAGTGTATTGGTCTTTTCTTTAAATGACCAGAAGCAAATATTTTTCATCTATCAAGTCAGTAATATTTTCTTCCTGGAGATGGTAAATTGGCAGGAGAGAGGGTGTGCATAAGCAGTTGATGAATTATTTTTCCATATTTTTACTGATACAGTGTTACATAATGGGATAGGATTTGTTGCTGCATGTTCATACACACACGATATAACAGTACAATTTGGCCATATAGTAAACATTTTTAAATAATTCTAAAGCTATCTTTTAAAAACACCTATTCCTGACAGCTTTTGTTATAAGAAAGTGAAATTTTAAAAGTTAGCTTGGATTCATATTTATATATTTGCTTATATAAAATGTTTTAGTTCAGGCTGGGGTTGTCGCTCAGTGGTAGATCACATGCCTAGCATGTGCCAGGCCCTGGGTTCGATCCTCAGCACCACATAAAAATAAACAAATAAAATAAAGGTATTGTGGTCCAACAACAACTAAAAAATAAATATTAAAAAATATAAAAAATGTTTTAGTTCATTTGTTGATATACAACACTTTATTTAAAATTTTGTATATAAAATGTTTTATCCAAGTAAATACAACTCCCTAAATATTCAGGATATATTACTATTCAAAGGGCCAGGGAAATATCATAAGAGGGGGGGTCATATGACATACGATCATCCTATGGTTATATTAGGAAGAAAATAGAAAACAACTATGACCCTTTGGATTTACAGTCCAAATCAACATTCTTTTTTTGTTTTGTATTGTTTTGCTTTTGTTTTGGCTATATATGTTTGGAAAACATCATACAGCTAAATGAACATTGAATTGATAGAGCAGAGAAAAGGTAGATTTTGTTCATTAGATGTATAAAAACAAAAAGAACATGGACACATTTATTCTTTTTAACAACATATTTAGGATGAATAATAATAACATTAGTGATTAAGAGAGATGCTCAAGAATGAAAAGGATTTTGGCATTCCAATGCCCCATGTAGAACCCTGGGCAATTTGTGCCTTCTGCAAGCTTTTTAACTTGTTCAAGATTTTGTTCCCTTTTCTGTGAAATGATATGAATAGGGGTTTTCCTGAATTAAATGAGTTTCTCTGATAAATATCTAACATATATTAAGCAATAAAAATGATGCTTCCTTGATTCTTACTATTGTGGTCCCTATCATTATAAGTTTGGATCTTTCAAAATGTTGCCCCAGATCGTTCCTAATTCTATGACATTTCTATGATTTGGGACGTTTTACAAGGAGAAAAGAAGTTATTTTCTACCATGTAGCTTTAATAGACATAACACAAATTAGGAAAGAATGTATTGGATGAAAATCTCTACACATCTGTAGGGAAAAGGATAATGTTTGATGATTCCCAATAATTACAGTCTCTTGGTTGTAAGCAGCATTCTTCTGCTTCCCTCTTTTCATTAGGAAATGAAACTGTGAACGTTTTCTAGCGTTTGTTCCTAGCAGCATGTTTCCTTTGTGTTTAAGGTTCCATCACCTGTGCTGCAGACATGTTCAGCTGCCAGGGCTCTCGTGCCTGCGTGCCCCGACACTGGCTTTGTGATGGTGAACGAGACTGTCCAAATGGAAGCGATGAGCTCTCCACAGCCGGCTGCGGTATGGATGTTTATCAGCTATTGTCAAAGAAAACTCTTGGCAACACCCTTGGATGTTTGTGTCATAGTACTTTTCACTTCACGTTTTCCTTCACTTTCCTAATTCCTGGGCCCTTGGGTAGTATTAGATCTAATCAGGTGGGACGTTGTTACCATGGTAGTTCAGAAGCCCCTCTAATTAGCTGTGCAGAGTGTTTCAGATGTGCAGTGGTATTAACCACTTTAAAACCATTTAGATGACTGCAGATTTGTCATTGCACTCTGAGATAGTATAACTGCACCACGTGTGTGAGTGTAGTAGATTTGGCATTTTCTTTTTAATGCCAACCAACCCCCCATGAAAGCTTTCAGATTGCCTATGACAGATACTCTGTAAATAGCTGCTCTGATCTTAGATAACAACTGATCAGGAGGTCAGTAAACACCTATTAGTGCTACAAATAGGGTATTAACCCCTGGGTCGGGTAGAAATAGTATGGATATAGCTGAATGAAGCTAGGGATCATAGGACCACCTTTGGAGGTCAGACAATTTACTAAGTTTCAGATTCTAGGTCACCTCAGGAAATTTTCAGAGAAATTCTCAATAGTAAAAATTTAGATAAGTTCCTTTGCATGGTCAGGAGGATAAAGGGACTGAATATTTGATTGTAGATCCCAAGGTCACACAGGGGATCTGTTGAGCTAAGCAATTTATCAGAAATAGTTCTGCAAATTCTGCTCCTCAACGTATATTCTGCCAATCATCTCACAAATGGCCTATTTCCATGTCTTTAAAACATTGTATTTGAAGCCTTAAGGTAAGTGTGTGTGTACATCAGGGACAGTTGAAGCACAAAAGAAAACGAAAACTTTGAGATAGGCCTATTTACACAGAACTCATGCTATTGTTGTAGAATAATTCACTTTGATCTTGAAACTGATATGTGTGTCTATAAAGGTCGATGGGGCCACTGAGGGCTACATAATAAAGGTTTAAGCATCAATTCAGGGATCCAGATGGTCCCAGTATGTTGTTGCTATTGTAGCAAGTTAACACTCTGGGAAGCATATTAACACTTTTGGACCACATGGGTACTATTAAGTAAATTATGCTAAAATGTAGCAAATTGCACTCCAGTGACCTGCAAGTGTTAATGCCAAATAAGTCACTGTAGCTCACTGTTTTAAGGAAGGATGCATGTGTTAGAATTGGCATAATTCACTTGAGTTATAAAAACTGTCACACAGTTCAGAGTTAGAGGTGTTATTATTAATGCTAACTTGTCCTTTGATATTAATGTCATTTCTATGTGACTTCTTTATAGTTTAAAAATTAAATTTATTGAAAGTAAATTATACTTGATTACATTCAAATAATCCTTTGTGTTTTACCCACTCATGGCTCTATTTCAGTAATTACTAAGATGAAAGCAGAGATTGCTTGGTTCATGTAGTCTGAGGCTGCCTGAGGATGAAGGACTGATAAGCATGTGAATGAATAACTATAATACCTTAAGTATGAGAATGTTGTGTGTCAAAGATACAGGGTCACCACAACGAAATATTATGTCAAGAGTCCTGGGAGTGTCATGGAAAGATTTCAAGAAAAAGTGATAATGTTGTCTAAGTCTCAAAGGACAAAGAGAGGGCTCTTTCATGGAAAGGAAAATGCTTAGGCTAGGAGGCGGGGAAATGGCAGATACTAAATTGCTTCCAGCGTCCATTATATTCCAGTTGTTGTGATAGGTGCTTTTTATTTACATTAATGAATTCCCACAACATTACCATCAAGTGTTTTTGGGGATCTGCCAAAAATAATTACTATATAGGTAGGAAATTAAAGAGCACATGGGAATGCATTGAATATCTGACATGAGAAGATCTGCCTCACATACTATATCTAGTCCTTATGAGAAATTTACCAGACAGATTTTATTATCCTCATTAAACAGATAACGAAACAGATGTCCCAAGAAGATAGATAGCTTCCTTGAGGATACAAATCCAATTGGCAGAGCCACTTTCTGCAAACCATTATTATTTTCAGCATTCTACAATAATATATATAATTATTGACATTTGAAGTGTCCTAACTTTGAATCCTACCATAGCCTTTATCTTTTAGATATAAGATTACTGAAAAAGTTAAATGATCCTTTCAGGTCTTCTATGATTCTATGAGTATAGTATTAAAGTTTATGTCCTGTGCACATGCTTTATTTTACATTTGGATCCACCACTGGTTAGGGACTTGCTGGAGCACTACATTCAAGGATTAGTAATCTCAAATGATCAATGTTCCATTTCATGGGTCAATTTTTTGAATTTTCTGTGGTGATTACAATGGGGCTTATTACATCAGAGATCTTACACACCAAATTTAATACTCCATACTTGCACTTACCCAAAAGGTATATTTTCTTTTTAAAAACAATAACTTTCTCTACTGTCTTTATTTACTTTTTACTTCTGTCATAAACATTACCACTTGGTGATCTCTTCAGTTCTACTTCTGAACAAGGAAGCAACACTTTTATCATGTAACCAGCATGACTGCAAGCGTGAGAGAAAAGATCCACCCGTGTTATTAGCCAAGTTTTTTTCTGACACACAAACATTTGAATTCATTCTTAAAAAGCTTACCAATTGCTACATGGCTTCAAATTTCAGGGGCACTCTGGATTAAGAGTGGAATTTATTAATACTAAAACTTTGAAATGCGTTCATAGAATGTATTACATATGAATACATTCTATTACATAGATGGCATTGTTAACTAATTTGATATATTGGAAATTAAGCAAAATTTTATTTTTTCTAAATAACTAGAAATTATTAGGTATAATTTAATTCCATTTCTAAATTCTAATATGGGAGATGATACAATATGTGCTCCTCTAACTCTATATTTTGTGATGTCTTTCTTAGCTCCCAATAACACGTGTGATGAGAACACCTTCATGTGCCGTAATAAAGTGTGCATTCCCAAGCAGTTCCTGTGCGACCATGATGATGACTGTGGTGATGGCTCCGATGAGTCCCTGCAGTGTGGTGAGTACATCTAGCTCCCAAAGAGGAGGATCTCAGGCAGAAAGCCTTTACAGAAGAACCTGGGTTTGCACAAATCAAAATCAAACACTCCTTTCTTCCTTCCTTCCCTCTCTCCTTTCCCTCCCTCCCTCCTTCCCTCTCTCTCTTTCTTTCTTTCTTCACTTTTCTTAATGATACTAAAGACCAATACATTCAGTAATACCTGGTTGCACCACAAGTAACTTCTTTAAGCTCAAGTATAATTTTACGTGCATTTGGAATTCATGTCCACTTGTAGTGTACTTATAACACTCAGTGACCATGTTGGAAAATCTCTATAAAAATGTCTCTGTTTTATTGTATTTTGAAGTGTTTTGTACAATACTTGGCTGGGTTGTTCAGTGTTACAGCCAGATCAGATATTTGAGTGAGAAAATAATGCAACTTAGCATTGTCAGAAAAGGCTTGTTACTTAACATTTTCCTCCACGTTGTATTTCTACATGTGTCTCATTTGTTTATATTTAATATTTCTATGAAATTTATCTTTACATACATATTTATTTAATGATTATGTATATTATATATGCATGTATATAATTATATGATAAAATCAGTATTAAAATGCCCAGTTAAAGTTGAAATCTCATGTGCACCTATTGTTTCTGTAAAATATTTCAATACATATGCATGAATAAATATACATAATGCAAATCTATGGACTTTATATATGTAAGGTAGTAAATTTAGTGCACTCCTGTGTTCTCCCTGTGCAGTGTCTAAAACCTTGGTCTTTGAAAGGAATCACTCGGAAATCAATGGATATCAGTTTTTATGATCTTTTCACCATTAAGTCATGCATTCAATATGATTTTTTAAAAGCTACATTATAACTCAAGGAATAAATTGAAAGCAGAGTTATTTATGATTGAATACCTCCTCTCTTCTAGATATATTTTGTTGATAAGGAGATGAATGAGACATAGTTTTCCACTTAAAGAACAAATAAGAACATCAGACAGACAATATAATAACATTCTTTTTAAAAATTAAATTATTTATTATAATTTGCTATATAGGAAAGCAGAATGCAATTTATTTCATATTACACTTATAGAGCACAATTGTTCAAGTCTCTGGTTGTATACAAAGTATTTTCACACCATTAGTTTCTTCACACATGTACTTAATGTAATCATGTCCAACTCATTCCACCATCTTTCCTATCCCATGCCTCTTCCCTTTCCCTCCTTCTCCTTTGCTCTATATTCTTTGTCAAATAAGAACAAGAACACCAGTACATGGGATCAGAGTACAGGGTCTCCCTAAGTTGCTGAGGGTTTTGCTACATTGCTAAACTGGCCTTAAAGTTTCAGTCCTCTTATGTCAGCCTCAGTTTCACTTGAATTAAAAGCATTCTCATGCTTCCAGCTCAATAAAATAATTCTTAAAGGAAGCACTAAAGAATATGAACAAAGCATGTTTATTTGAAAAAAATCATATTTAGATTATAAAGAGCATTACATGGTGGTTAATACTTGGATCTTTTTGCTGGGTGGCCTGGATTCCTGAATCTACCACTTATTAGCTGTGTGACCTTGAGAAATGCTTTACCTTTCTGTACCTAAGTTTATTCATTTATAATATATGTATATTAATAATGTTTAACTTATACAGCCCAAAAAAATTGAATGAATTAATATGTGTTCAGCGTGTAGAGCAGTTCTCGGCACATGGTAAATGCTAGTTGTATATATAAAAACTGTAAGTTGATGTGATTAAGGAATAGCTATTAATCTTCTGTGTGGTTAAGCTGACATTAAGAAATTCAATTGGAGCTTGATTGGAAAAAGTCTGATATCTTATTTTATATCATTTGTATTCAGTTATTTTATTCTGAGGCCAGCATACATTTTGAAACAATGGAATAGAAAGTCACAATCAAATATAGGTTCTAGATCCATCTTTTTCAGCAGACTATAAGAAAATATTGCCATAGAGGAGAACCATGAAGGAAAATAAACTAGTTAGCACATTCCTGAAATAGTTCTCCTGGTTAACATTATGGTTGAGGACCAGATTAAAAATGGTAGAATGGAAGGTATGGAAGGTGTGAGAGTTAATACATTATTGGAGGTGGGGGATAATTGAGAACTTTTAGCTTGAGTAACTTGGGATGATTTTGCTATTAATCAGCTTTGTAACATGGGAGATTGAGGTTCAGTTTTTCTGATGCAGGAGCGGAGATATAGTAAAGAATTTATTTTGAATATTTTTAAATATGTAGCATTAATTAGGCAATCATACATAGCAACACAGTTAGTGAAAATATAGTTCTAAATAAGAATCAGTAATGTTGATTTGATGGTCATCAGCATAAAGGTGACATTCAAGCTATACATAAAATGAGAAAACCAGACAATGTGGATAATAGATATTAATAAATCATAAATTGAAACCAGGGTTTCACCTGCAATATGTTAGGGGAGAACATCAGAGGACTTCCTAGAGAAAGAGAAAAGAAGGGAACAGCAAAAGCATATTTGGAAAGAAGGCCAGGAGAGAGGATTATATATATTAAACCAAGAAGCTATTTCCAAGGAAGAATGGTCAACAACATCAAATGCTGTAGAAAAGCCATATCAAATTTTGAGACATCTTTGAATTTGCCACTTGCCACTTGCTGTATATTCACTTCAAGGGCAATTTCAGATCTTCTCTAGATGTTAGAGAAGTGAGTTGTTGATTGACTAAAGATGAACTGGGGGATAATCAGTGGAGGCAAAATTGGGTAGTACAGGAAAAAAGAGAATGTGTACTAAGGAGTATATAGAGAAACTTTCATTGTTATTGGACTGGGTAAGACTTGCATATATTTGTCAACTAAGGTGAAGAAACTGGTGAAGAGGGCTGAGAGGGAAGAAATATTATGGAAACTATAGATATTTTTAATTATGCCTTTCCAAGATTATAATCTTTGCAAGTAGATACTCATTACCGAGCTATATTTTATTGGAAATTTATTCTTTTTTGCCATAAAGATTCTCCCTGATTTATCAGAAAGTTTTAAGAGAAGTGACAGAGGGAAATATCCATTCTAAAGTCTAATATTAAAAACAGAATTGGGGTGGGGGTTGTGGTACAGTTGGCAGAGTGCTTGCCTAGCAGATTGAGGTACTGAGTTCGATCCTTAACACCACATAACCAATAAAATAAAGGCATTGTGTCCATCTACAACTATGAAAAAAAATAAAGAAAAAACAGAATAGGCCTTACTTAATAACAGGAATAGATACAAATGTTAACAAGTGATGAGCTCATTTGTCAATTGAACAAAACTTTTTAAGTGACTTTAAGAATTAATATATAGGGTAATTATAATAGTTATTTTTCTTTTTTCTCTAAGAATTAAGTTTTTTTTCCATTTAAACAGTTTCTTTACATTTTGCTTTTTCACAAACATAAACATTACAGCTTTCTGAGAACTAGTGCTATAGCACAGAATCAGTCCTTTTATATTTTCTGGCACCATAGCTAACCTAACCAAGTTTGGTTTTGAAGAAAATTTTTAATGATTTCATTTTAGTTTTCCATTCTAAGACAAATCCCTAGGATATAGACAATAGGTGAAGGAAGATGGTGTAATCGTGTGTGTTACATTCATGTTAGCTCATCTACTAATCAGAGAACCTTTCTCCCAACTTTATTTTCTGGACCTAACTTACTTCCAAACCACAAGGTATCTCTTACAACTTTGACCATTACAACAGAAATAAATGAAAAATATTTCCAATAGAAGGCATGGGTAAACTTGTGATCAATTAAGTATGCTGTGCGTTTGAGGGAATAAAATTTTCATTACTATTTATTGTTAAAATATTTTTCACAATTATTCAGACTGCTTATTTTTTGTTCTCTAGGATACCGAGAGTGTAGTACTGAAGAATTTCGTTGTGCTGATGGGCGATGTCTTTTAAACACTCAGTGGCAATGTGATGGGGACTTTGACTGCCCTGACCATTCTGATGAAGCACCTTTAAATCCAAAGTGTAGAAGTGCAGGTACAAAAATACATAATGCTATGTTTAATCCAAAGTTTATTCTTAATGGCAGAACTATGACTGATTATCTATGTAGTATAATATTCAATGAAAGAAAATTTAAATTATTAAGCATGTGATATCTCTAGTGATACCATATAGGATCCTAGTAACCAACTACATTCTGAGGCTGTTTTAAAATTTAAATATATGCTCAAACTATGAAGATTTGAGGCAATGATTCTCATGGATGCATACCCTGTCCCCTTTCCCTCCAAAATGAATATTTAAAAAGAGTTTATATGAATGTAATTTTCCTACATGGACCTATTTTGAAAATTCAAATATATAAGTGTTCAGGATTTAATGAAGTTATCATACTTTTCAATAGTACTTATAAACTTGCACATTATGAATCAATTAAAACATTTGAGGGCTGGGGTTGTGGCTCAGTGGTAGATCACTCGTCTAGCATATGTGAGGCCCTGGGTTCAATCCTCAGCACCATATAAAAATAAATAAATAAATAAATGTATAAAAAATTGAAAATTCAAATCATTAAAAAATATTTACTGAGAAGTAGTCTATTATCCACACCTAGAAAAAGTGAAATAAGTTGCATGTCATTTGCACAGAAATGTAAACATATTAGCTACTCTTCCCTATTACTATTCTAAAGATGAATATATAGCCATATATTTTAGAATAAACTTTAATTAATAAACAATTTTTTCTCATGAAGTTTATATGTTAATAAACTTCTTTATACATATATGATAAGAGAAATAATGCCGAAGTCATCTGGTTATGAGTAACTGCAAAATCTCAGCTCCTTTCCATCGCTATATTTGGAACAACTATCATTCACCATCAATGTCCTTTTTATGCCCTGACTTAAAAATGTCAATGTTATATATTCTGGAAGAAAAAGTATTTAGAAATGTCTACCTATTCTATATTCTTAATTTTTAGAGGCATAATTTCTCAGAGATCTATAGCTTGAGGAAAATGTCAAACTATCATTATGCTTTTGAACTCATTCTTCACAATTCAAATGAGACAGATAGTCCATTAGTTTTATCGTAGGTGCTTATTTTGATTGCTAATTTTCATAGTAAAGCTACATTTGCAGTATGTGTGAAACATCAGCATACAGTTTGCCCTTGGTTTTCCACATTTTATGTATAAAATATTTCACTGACAATAGATTATTTTAAGTGTAAATATATTTATTATAATTTGACAGATAAGTTATTATATTTGTGAATATTTTCACCAACTATAGTATAAAAAGGCATGCCCTTTATGTTCCATTTGTTTTCTTTTTCCAGAACAGTCATGCAACAGTTCATTTTTTATGTGCAAAAATGGCAGGTGCATTCCCAGCGGAGGTCTTTGTGACAATAAGGATGACTGTGGCGATGGTTCAGATGAGAGAAACTGCCATATAAATGAATGTTTGAGTAAGAAAGTCAGTGGATGTTCTCAGGATTGTCAGGACCTGCCTGTAAGTTACAAGGTAGGTAATCATCAAAAATAGCAACTTACGTGATACTTTAGATTTGAGATAATGAAAACTAGTTTAATATAATTGTAAACCTTAAAAGCCATTATAATATCGCTAGGTAAAACTATTTACAAAATGAGTGTTTATAAAAGAAAACATCATAACAGTGTGGTGTAAAAGTTGTGAGAATATAGTTAAAAAGACAAAAGAATAAAAAATAATTTTCAATATATTCAGAACATAAAGAAAGAAAAGACAAGGGAAGACTCTGCTCAGGGAAGATACAATGATAATAGCTATATAATTTTATATGCAACTCTTAACTTCTTATTTCTGCCCTTCTTTTACCCCTGTACATCTTTGAAGGGTAATGGTCTAATCATTTATTTAGTGTAATACCAGGGCACCACATTTTTTATTATTACAAGCAAGAAGCAAAAACTAGAAAACATGAGCTATTAATTTTGAGTGCAGGTACACTAAAAAAAATAAAGAAAAGAAAAAAACAAATCATACCTAATAGCATAATTGCTTTTTTGTCTGTACCATTTCCCTAAAGAGGGTGATTCACTGGCAAAATTGAGAGGAAGAAATAGCTTCTAAAAACAACTTTTTTTCAGTATGTTGAACTAGTGTATTAAACTAACACAAGATTGAAATACAAATTTGTGGGTTAGGTTAAAATTAATTATGTAGATATAAAGAAGAACTCATTAAGAGAAATCCATTCATAGACTGGGATATAACTCAGCTGGGTACCTGCTTAGCGTGTGCAAGGCCCAAGGTTTACTCCCCAGTACCACTTTTTTTTTTTTAAGTGAGTTGTTTGAAATTTTTTTCTTTTGTTTTAAACTAAGTAGAATTTCTATAAAATTAATAATAGCATAGAACTTATATAAAATGCAGAAACAGTGTACTTCTTATGTAGACATTTGCTGGAATTTGATTCTGTTTTACTGAGTTTGTACCCTTCAGACCTCACATAGGACACTGTGTATATTTATGAACATGATATTTTGTCAAAAGGATCTGGAGCACAGGTCTTTGGAAGAAGTATGACTAAAACAAAAATGACTTGCTAGCTGTATTTAAATATAGGAAGTTCCAGAATAGAAAGCATACGAGGTCTGAGTTGTTTCAGATATTAGAATTAGGGGTTTGAAATTAGATTATGTTCAACATAAAGAAGAATTTTCTAAAATTAGAACTTTTTACATTGGAATGAGCTGTTGTACATGCATCATCTCTAGAAGTATTTCTGCAGTGGTTAAATGAACTTCTTAAAACAATGCTAGAGATAAAGAATGTGTGTGAGACCAAACTGCTTTCCCTGCCAGTCCTATGACAAGCCAGTTCTATATAATGTCAAATTTAGCTGAACAACCAATTTGCTATTTTACGTCTCAGACCTTCTGGTATTATGATTAACTTAACCGCATCAATAAAGATTATACTAAATATCCAAATGGGATCCTAATTAGAATAAGTTATACTCCATGTTTGTATAATATTTCAAAATACACTTTACTACCATGTATATCTAAAATGAACAAATAAACTAATAAAAAATGTTTGCACCATATAAAGGTCTAACCTACAAGCTACAATAATCGTTCCCTTTTACTGGTAGTACACTCATTGCAAGAAAAAAAATATATATGTTTTTACTTAAACAATATCTTTATTTTTTTTAATGTGGTGCTGAGGATCAAACCCAGTGCCTCACGCATGCTAGGCAAGCACTCTATCTCTGAGCCACAACTCCAGCCCAAGAAACCTATAATTAAGTTTTTAGACACAGTATTTTATTAAGAAGTAGTTGAATTTACAGGACTAAGACATGCATGCACTCATTCACAAATACTGTTATTGGAAGAAGGAAACAAACCAAATGAGCCAGGACAGTTCTTAATAGAGTAGGCATCAGATAATTAATTTTGGCAGTAAATAATATATTAAAATCCAAGGGAGCAGGAAAAATTACTTACATAGATATGTTTCATGATTGTTACAGAATTACTATAGATAACTAGTGATAATTTTAAGTCAACAGGTTTATGAAGAATTCAATAGTTCTATTGCATAAATGTCCATTCTATATGATAAATTTCAAAGTATATCTCTAGTTTTTTTTGTGTATGAATTTATTATCTGTCATAACAATCATGGTAGTAAAACATCAAATTTATAGAATTTAAAATGGGTACTTTGTGACATGACATTAAAAATTAGATTTTTACTTAAAATTCAAACATATAGATACTTAGTGCATAGAAATACCATATTTGGAAAACTATTTTTGGTAGAAGAAAATATCATCCAGAAAAGCATATTAAGTCATACTTTTTAATCACTTAAAAGGTTCCTTACAAAGAAATGAGTGTTTATTGTATCAGCATATACTTTCTCTTCTCTAAAGGGTTCATACAATCAAGTGCCAATTCTAGCTGAAATTGACAAAACTGTTTAATCATTCCAAAATGTGTGTATATGAAACCTGAAGAAATGCTGTAAATAATATTCTTAAGTGTGTACATGCATATCAAAACTAATGAATTTTAAAAAACCGTCTATTGGAAGAAGCAAGACTAATGCAAAAATTTACAATGGATAACAGAACCATAAATAAAAGTTTTAAAAGAAGGATCAAACCTAATATTGAACATATTTGTGTGTATGTGCATGTGTGTGTGTATGGCAATTTTTCAATAGAAAATTGAATAAAAAGTCTACATACAACAAAATCCGTATAGCTTTGGGGGAAAAATATCAACTAATGGGTTTCTCTTTTTCAGGAAATAGGAAAAACTATTCTGTAACCTATTTCTCTTTGCAATATCAGCAGAACATGACAAGAAGTCATACTCTCAATTCTGCAGTAAAATGAAAATTGTCATCAAAAGCAAAACTTAGATCTTGGGACTGTGAAAATTTGAGTATTTGCCTAAAACAAACAATTTGTCTACCTACTTAAAAGGAACTAAAATATTTAACTAAAGTATGGATCTTAGCTTGATGGGAAAATAATTTATCATATAAATATAAGTGTACTTTTGGTAGGGAAAAAGATTCAATATATACATTAAAAAATAAAAATAATTCATATTTGTAAATATCACTTAAAAAGTAGCACATGATTTTTTCTAAAACCAATAGGAAAAATTTGAGTAGCTATTTTTTTTCCTGGTTGCTATATGTTTCTATAAAAATAACATAAATCTGAAAAATATGATATAATTCTGGGTGGTAAGAAAAACCAAGATGATATTGAGTCTAAATCTTATTTCATAATAATTTTCTTTCTAAGTGAAGGTAAAATATTTTACACTACTATTTTTCTATTAAATATAGACAAATCTCATATCTTTTTAACTTTAAAAATGGAAATGATTATCATTCTAGTTTCATTTCTTATAGACAGATGTCTTTTGATAATTTGGGAGGAAAAATGTTTTTAATATAAGGTAAATGGCTTGGGATATAATTATCATTTTTAAATGCCTCTCCTTCAAAAGCAAGAATTCATAATTTACTATAAACCTAAACTTGCTTATATAGAATTGTATATTGTAATAACTTTAACCAATTTTACTCTCAATAAATTTATTTTCTGTAAATTTGTTTTATTGAAGCCATCTATTTGATATAGTACTTCTATGGATATAGGCATTCAAAACAATTTTCAACCCTTATTGAAATTAAGATGTGTTTTCTTTTTATAATGTTGAGAGGACTTCAACATATTCTATAGTATTTATTTCGCTTGTTCCATATTGCCTCTTAATGCAACACTGCTCTGTGTCTATCAGACTTCTGGCTTCCTAGCCACATGATCATATGATGTAATTTCCAGGACTTTACAGTAATCACTGGAAAGATTTCTCATTTTAAAAAAATATATATTTGTTCTTATTAATGTATACAGTTTGCCAATTTCACTGTTTTCAAGTGTACAGCTCAGTGGCTTTAAGCATTTTATTTTCTTTGGCCATAGAATAAGCACGAGTTCCTTGTGGCTCCCTAGTACATGTTGCCAGCATGGGTCTTCTCAAAGAAAATAAAAGTGCCACCAATTTAGATTCAATGGGGCGAGGTGGGGAAAATGCTGTGGCTTTTACCTTTTCTTTGCTGGCTTGCCAGTGGGTTCTAGAAATTTAAATAATTCATTGTAATTGATGAGTGTTATTAGATTATTGCAGATGTAAATTGTTAAAGTGGAAGTGCTGAGGGCTTAAAGGGCTTCAACCTTATAAAAGTTCTCAGGAGAAAGGTATTGTTTTTCTTTGGGACACATTCAGATAAAGTTGATGTAATCTTTTTGCTTCCCTCCATATAATGAACATTTTTCTTATATAAAACTTCTATCCCTTAATTAATCAGTAGTTGATTATTTAATACTGTGGACATATAACACTCTAATATCTTTCCCAGTGGATTCGTCTCTTTTACTCTGAAACAAATGCTCCAGTGTATGAAATGTTTACTATGAACACCTCTTGAATGCAAGTCCCTTTAAGAGAGTTTCTTCTTAACTCACTGTCCTTCTCAGTACTCACAAATTCCTTTATTCAAAGGACATGGAATAGTCTTGGTAGATTAATGGTAATCATTATTTGGCCAACTATAGGCTCCTTTTCTATAATACTAATAATTTTTAGATTGTTCACTGTCTTTGTGTTCTCTTCTTACAATCACAGTGACTTATCAGTTTTAGGAATCAAAAAATTATATGGCATGATATTTGTACTCAAAGAGTTGACATACCAGTTGGTAAATTTCACGTGTCCTCCTCTTTGGTATAGAATCAGATTCAGTTAAGAAATACTAGTTGAGACATACTGTGTGTTAAAATTGTGAGTCCCAGCTCTCTTACTGGCTTCACCTAGGCACCTTCATGCTTCCATCCTCATCAGTTAACTAAAGATGAGAACATATGCATTATAGATTTCTGTCTGTGATTAAACAACATATGACAATGTTAGAAACCTTCAAATATCTACATAAGGATTCATTCTTATGATTGTTGATGTCTTCTAAAAACATGATATGATGCAATAGAAAAGGCCAAAAGAACATGAAGGTATTGTGAGTTTTCTTTTTCCTTTCTCCAGACATAAGGCTTTAGCACTGTCAAATTAACTTTTGCAATTTTGCCAGTCCCAGAAGATCAAATGAAGATATTTGGAAAAGTGTATTTTTCAAATTTTAACTTCCAATATTATATGTAATTTTTATTAAAGGTTAATTGCTACAAGACATAAGGATTTGCCATTACCTAATGTTAAGTGCTTTTCTTGCTAGAATCGTGCTAAAGGTATATCCAATAGTAAAAGACAGTGACAATAATATGAATTGATAATGCTCATTTTTCTTTCCCCAGTGCAAATGCTGGCCTGGATTCCAACTGAAGGATGATGGTAAAACATGTGTGGACATTGATGAATGCTCTTCAGGGTTTCCCTGTAGCCAGCAATGCATCAATACTTACGGGACCTACAAATGCCTCTGTACAGATGGGTATGAAATACAACCTGATAACCCAAATGGCTGCAAATCACTTTCAGGTATCGAATTGAACTTGTCCACTGAACCAACCTCAGTTACCTATATGGATCTCAAATTTTATGTTCATTTTTATTGAATTTACTACTCCTTGCTGTTTCTGAGATATCAAAAATCTTGCCTACTTTCCTCAGTATGGGACTGTATCATTATGATTTTGTATGCTGTACATATGCTGCTGTGTTTATAATATCACTGCATTTTCATTTTGCAAATTATTAAGTGTTTGCTATATTTTGAGAGTACTCACCAAGAAAAACAACTATGTTACTATTATATTCTGTTGAAACACATATTCTTGAGTGCAAGTTTGTCCAAGATCATAAAAGAGCATATTATGATATTACTGTAATATTTTTATTTCTCCATTGTACCACATATATTCCTACATACTTGCCAAGGAGAATAACAGATTATTGATGATGATGATGATAATAATAATAATAATAATAATAATCAACAATACTAATAGCAAGTCAGGTATATAATACTATTTGAATCCTTCCAATGATTCAACAAATATTATTAAAGCTCTGATTATTCCAATTAGTATGTATGACTATTAAATTAGAGATTTAATAAAGCATGGCACAAAACTTTAAAATTATTGTAAACTACTATGGGAAAAAATTATAATGATACACAACGATATATGTGAATGACTATTAAAGTGGGTAAAAAACAATGGTGTTCAAGGGTATATCCAGCTCTCTTAAAATGAAACATATTACTGGTTTCTCACATAGATATATGTTGGTGACATTAGATATTTTGTTATTAACAAAGTAGATAACAAGGATAAAAATTTTTAAATAAGTATTTTAAAAAACAGCTTAAAACTTTGTACATTACAGAGAAAAATGTCAACTAAATTTAATTTTTCATTTCATTATCACTTATTCTTTGAATATTCTTTACTGAATCAATTAGATATCATTTAGAGCCCATCATTTTATATGCCAACCTTCTTGCTTCTGGCAGCTCACTGTGGGCTACATGATGCGTTTAGTGACATGCTGCAAGAAAAAGAGATAAAATGTTAAAAGCAGCCAATGTTTCTCTTCAATAGACTTTTCATAGAGGATTGTGTAGAAAAGACAAATGCTAATGATTACATATCCATTCGAATATCATGTAACCATGAAATAATTGTTTCACATTAGTAATAATAATTAGAACCTAATAATGACTTTGAATATAAAAAATCTGTTCTTGAAGTGAAGTTTTTGAAGTAAAGACAGTTCAAATTTTTAAACCAATTATATTTGAATTTAAAAAATAGTTTTCTAAGTATTAGTGTAGAAATTAACTGATTAATTTTATATTTATATGTCTGAAACTGTGTATGTGTTTATATGTATGTACACACACATGCACAAACATGCTTTTTTTTTGTGGGGGTGCTGATGATAAAATCCATGGTCTCAGCCATGCCAGGAAAGCACTCTACCACTGAGTTATAGCCTCAGACGAATTTGAAATAATATTGACTGGAATAGCAAGACATCTTCTAATTAAGAGCCAACTTTGAGTTGAAAAGTATGATAAATCTGAATTTGGCCTCAACATTAAAGATTGGGATAACTGATTAAGAGTGCTGTCATAGATAAAATAAGAATGTCCAATGTGAATGTTAGAGTATACACTGAAACCTTAGTAGCAGGGTCTAATAATACCTTATTTTAATACCTTACTCTTACATATTAAATATGAAACAAAACAGCAAAGGAAGGAATGAAAAATTTCAAAACAACCATACCATTATTTGATTTATAATAAAGTGCACATTAAAACACATAAAGTGATTATCTTTTGAAATGTTTTCCCATTTTTTTCTGTGAACATTAAATTTGCATATTTTGGCAAATAAGTATATGAACATGTTTACAAAGACATACAAGACAAATAGTTTACTGAGTTTTTCCAGGATTATAATAATTGAAAATATGATCAAATTGACTTTATTTAAATATGTATTCAAATGCATATAGTGTGCAGCACTTTTTGAAATTCTTTTCTTTAATAATGTATTTGACTTGCAAATAAATTCTGAAGAGGACACCAAAATAAGGTACAGAGGATCTTTCTATATATTGAGCAAGATCAAACTTTATCATGCTCTTTCCTAGATTCTAAAATAAATGAGATAGTAGAACACAATGGGCAGTCTCATTTGAAGGAATTACAGATTAATAAAGGATTAAAAAATAAGACCCATGAGAAAAGGTAAAATTAATAAATAAAAAATAGAGCCTGGAGTTCAGAAATCACTTAAGACAAGTCCTCAGGCGCATGAAAAAAGTGTATCTGTGCAATGATTCCACTTGACCTCTACCCAGGTAATTCTAAAATTTAACTGGTTGATGATCAAGGAGAAATTTTCTGATATGAGAGTTTAGTTGAACCATTGAATTTTTTGATAGGTGTAGATTATCCTTTTTTAAAAATATACATTATAAAATCAGAATGTAACAGCAGATATTTTCTACTAATGCCAGATCAGATATTTGGATGGCCAATAAAATTGAGGGTAAGAGAAGAATGCACTCAGAATTATGTAGATTTCTGTACTCCCAATGGCATTTGCTGTCTTTTCTTTTACTATTGACCACATTGCTGAGTATAAACTTTTAAACCATTAATCTACCAGAACAACAGTGTGTTTGAATTTACATTGCTGCTAAACTACTGAAACTAAACAGAAGAGATCATAAATATTAAATGTCTAACTGGCTCTTTGCTTTGGAATTTAGATGAGGAACCTTTTCTAATTCTTGCTGATCATCACGAGATAAGGAAAATTAGCACTGATGGCTCCAACTACACACTTTTAAAACAGGTATGACTCCGTAACATTTATTATGTGTTCTCCAGGCATGCATTCAAACTGCAGAAATACAGGACAGTTAGAATTTATATAGCAAATATTTATGGATGCATACACATATAAGCATATATATAATATTACATAAATGCTCTTCTTTTGGGTGATGAGCAGGTAATGCTTTCAAACTGCCTTATCATACGGCACTGAAGAAGGTAAAGATAATAAGGCATAATTAATTCAAGAGAAATATTATCTCAGGAATAGCTTAATTACAGAAAGCATAACAATCTCTTTTAAAGTGTTTTGTGAATTACCCAAATTGTTTTCCCACCTTGAGATATAAAGTAACCTTTTCCTGAATTCCATGTTCCTGTTCATAAAACCAGGAAATACAATAGGACAGACCATACCTAGTCTTTAAAAATTGGAATCATCAGGAGAATAAAAGTGAGAGTATAAGAGTCGTGACTGCAAGGTCTCAAAAAAAGGTGTTTTCAGTCTTATCTTCTCCTCTCTCAGTACCACCCACTTCAAGAGAAGCTGGGCTGATGTGTTTTTGTGTTTGACTCCTGTTCTCTGAGTTTATTTTTATATGTGATTTGAGATGGAAAAATTATGACTTACACTTTGTAATAGCATATAGAACTGTGAATTATTCAGCACAAATGTTTTTTTTTTCCTCCAGGTATGCAATGAAAATAGACCAAATTCAAATTAAAAATAGAGTGAAACTACATGTACTAGGGAAGTTACATACACTTAGTTAGAGCATATTTTAGTTATTAAGAGAAACGTCTTTCCTTGGAATCTGTATCTTGTATCTGTTTGTCTATAAATGACTTTGCTCCAACTGTACAATACATCAACATTAAGGACATTTCTCATATTTGTGATATGTTTATGAGAGTGTTAGATATAAATAAAGAGACCATTTATATGGTGACTTTTTGGAAACAAAGAAGACTTATAGTCATCCTAAGTATCTCAGAGAGAGATTGGTTTCAGGATTCCCAGCAAAATCCAAAATGCATAAATGATCAAGTTTCTTATATAAAATTGTATAGCATCTCCATATAATGTGCACACATCCTCACACATATTTAAATTCATCTGTATTTTACTTATAATATCTGGCATAATATACATACTTTACAAATAGTGTCAGTTTTAGAGAACAATCAGAAGGAAAAAAATCTGCACATGTTCAGTACAAATGTAATTTTTCCCATGATATTTAATGGTGGTTAGTTGAATTGATGGATACAGAGCACAAAGATATATGGAGGGCTGACTGCCCTTAATAAAAGTTAAGGCATTTCACTCATTTTACTACTGTCTGCTGTATTTCTTCACTGCAGCTTCAGAAATTTCTTCATTTCGCTTTAGTAGTAAGAGTAACTTTAAGTGCACATATTTATTAGCCAGTGTGAGATTGACTAATCCTGGCAGAGTCACATTTTTCCAGACTTCTTCTAGATAACAGATTGAATTTCAGAGAGAGAGAGAGAGAGAGAGAGAGAAGGAAAAGGAAGAACAACAGTGTCAACAGAGTGTGCAAGAAAGATATCAGGGAGAAGGAAATGGAGAGGGAAATGGGAAGTATTGAGAATTGAAACAGAAAAAAACTGTTTATATGCAAATATGTCTAACTAATGCACTAAAAATATACTTGAAGTATTTTACATGAAAATCCAGATTTTCTGGCTGTTTATGAAGAGTAGAAAAGTATATGGTGCTAGCATCACATTCTTGAATGATCACATACCGAACAGTGTAGCAGTTACCATTTTGATTTAGAATTCATGCTCTCCAGTCCACTGGAGTCTTCAGATAATCCATGTCCTTGCAGCATGTGTACTTGCCCTGTTTTTGAATGTCTGTGGATTTAGGCTCTTTCTCAGAGTTTGGAGTGAAACGCTAATTTCCACTATGTCACACTGACCCTTTCTTCAAAAATGGATCTGTGAAAAACTGTACAAAAATTAAAACATTTTCAGGAATTAATGAAAACCAAACAGAAAGCTATCTAAAGTATAATAATTAGACAGCTGTCTTTTGGGAAGTTGATAATATAAGAGTAATCATTTGGGAGGAAGTTTTAAGAATAAACATAAAATGAAAATTTTCTTTGCTTCCCACTCTGTTTCCTACATGATCTAGTTTAATTCTTTTTTTTTCTGTACAGTGTATTTTTAAACATATTAAAACTGCAAAACATTGAAAATTATCTAATTTGTGTCTACGTCTTCTCAGTCCCTCTATCCATTATAAACTTAAAATGAGATATGCCAGCCATTGATTTTCTGGTGTGGTATCTGGAAAAGGGATATGTTTTTTTTCTCTTAACTAGTATTTTTGGCATTTCACTCTTCATACTATGCATTTTTAGTTTAATAGGAAGTAATTTCTATTGAGAATGCCTTATTTTTACGCTCAGATAAACCACAAGGTTAACTAATATAGCAACAATATTGATTGTGTTCATGAGAACAGTTTCTGGATCAGTTCTTTGTTTCATTCTCCAACCCTGATGAGGCTCAGGACATTTTCGTTGGTATCCCTTTTGTGGTCATTCATGGCAAGTGTGTTGTCTGAGATTATTCCTAGTGAAACAAAATGTTTTTTTTTCTTCTATGCTTCATTTAAGTCTGTTTCTCATAATAGACTTACTTTAGTACATTCTTTAATATAGCTCTTTTTTTTCCCCTGATGCTATCATTTTAGACTACTGCAAATTATTAGTACATAAGTAGGGGAATTTTAGATATTTTTCTTAGTGTTTAAGTTTATGAAAATGAATAAGGAAAGAAGAAGGTAAGGTAGTTCATTAAGACCCTGAACACCTATGTTTTGGGGAAACATTTATTAGTGTTAATTCTGGAGTAAGGAAACAGATACTCCAAAACTTGATATGAGAGAAGCCTAATATCAGGTTTTACCTATGGGCTGCTTGGAATGTATTATTTCTTCGAGGGAACAAATTTTTAACCACAATCTTATCATAGCACTTTAAAATTTTTAAGGAGTTTTAAGCAGTAAAATCATTTTCCTCTTTAGAGACTTTATTCACATATGTAGAATGAATTAGAAGACAGAGGGAGGTGATTAATTATCTCTTCACATTATCTCTTAACTCAAATAAATGAAAAGGCCTTGGTTGTTTGGAACTTTTATGTATAGCTGATTAAAAAATGATTTATCCTAATATGTTAAATTTTGTTCTGTTATCATTAGTAATAGTCTCATAAAATTTTATTTAATAAGTTTATAACAAGTATTAAAATTGTTTTTTTAAAGTTGTGTATTCTAAAATACAGGTGTGGTGCTAGGCCACCTATAGTTTAAATTCATATGCCATGCTAAGAAAATGTATTTTAATAACATAGATTTTAGGAATGAAAATTAGTCAAGTAACTTTCCAATATGTTATGCAATGCAATTCTAGCAGTGCTTTTATCCCAGTAAATTGTATAGAGAAACAAAACACAATTTCCTAAATTAATCATCTTGAACCAAAGGGTGCAAGTCTTCAACTACAGAAATGAAAGAAGCAAATAGGATTTTGATGAAACCAATTTTCAGCTCTGAAACCACTGGGATGACTCTAGTTTTCAGGCATTATTTTGACCATACCCCTGGCTGTTTTAATGTTCCTTGCATATGATTCTACAAAGAGAGAATTGCAGAGTTTTCTGTGGGGATTAAGAGTAAAGCCATTGAAAAAGGCCCAGCTTGTCCAAATAGATATGTCAGGATTCACACATTCAGCTCCTTGGCATTTACAGCTTTAATTTCTTATACTTGACTTGCTAAATTTGGAATTGGATTTTTATTATCTAAATTGATTATTGCTAAGAAAGAAATTCTGCCATGATTGGGGATTGTTTGTAAATCCTTTCTAAACTTAGCAAGAAATTTCTCCACGTTTTTCCTATAAAGCTCTCTAATTTAGTCCATTGCCAAACCAACACAGAAGCCTAATCCATTTACATTATTTCCTCCAGAGAGAAAAAGCATTTGAACAGAGAGGATATTGTAAAAGACTATTGAGGTGATTTTTAAAATCTCTCTATGGAACTTGCTAGAATACACTTAATTTATATTTTAGAAATTTGATTTTTTTCATAGCCACTTTCCTAGATGTATATAGTTAAGTGCATTTAGTTAATAGTATGTGAATGGATACTTAAGGAATCTATTGAAACTGAGACTAAACATTATTTTTCATTTTTCACCATTTATAATCATTATTCTTGATTAGGAATATTGTCCCTAAGAAATGTGCTTGCATTTATTCATTTGAGCTTACTGAGGAATTTATCCTGAGTCATGTTTTCTACCTGTATCTCCTATTTATGACCAACATCATGCAATTACATGGGGTTAGGATATTTCAGATTAGGTTTATAATGTGGAACTGAAGAAAAAGATCGTCCATAGTAAGCCAAATAAAAGTGTAAGATTTGAATTTGTGATGTTGGCACCATTATTTCTAGAATTCAGCTTTGCTGCAAGATGAAAGGAGAAACAAATATCTGAATGGAGTCTGAATAGTAGCCATTTATCCTTGGCCTGAATTTTATAAAGGACTATGTAGATCTATGGCACTGTTGCTTTTGTTATCAGATTCTGAATTTTGAGACTAGATTTGGGAACTGAACTCAGACCTGGGAATTACCATCTTCCTATACTTTCCCACAGCTTGCTCCCATACCAAACAAGAGCAAACAAAAAATCTGTTTCCCTGAAGGTATTGATCCTTACCTATAAGACTACAACTGTTTTACAATTTGAGGTGGAAAAACATTTCTAGGGTGAATGTTGATATAAGCAAGCTCTACATAGTTATAAACACATGACAAAGGTCTCTTGGGGTTTTACCAAGAGAGTATAACATTAATTATTTAATAATGTGTAAAAGTTTGCATACTAATAAACTATTCTAACCTTAAAATGAGTTAACACAATTTAAATTGTGACCCAAATTTTGTTAGTTCATAAAGTAGCAAATATGCCAGTACTAAAAGAGATCAGATTTAAACTCTGAAATCATTTAAACAACTCACTACAAACAAAATACCCAGATTCTGATGTACTATCCCCAATTCTAAGTAAATAGCAGAACAGCCAACCAAAACTCTGTAACTTCTAGAAACCCAACAGCTGAATTTGTGTTCTGTTTCATTACCTACTAAAAAATGCATAACTGTGGGTCTGAAGGGAGGCATTTTCTCACATTTCCACCAGTAGAATAAAAAGATGTTGAATATCTATTTCTTCCTTGGTCAAATACTCACCTAAGGTCATAACTTTTAAATTCTAATATGACACTCTACTGCCTGAGGAGCCATTTGAAGCATGAAAAAAGGAAGCTCATTGATGTTTTGGGAACAAGAGCTATTGCAGAAAGTAAAATTCTTAAAACCTTCCTTCCTCACTCATCACATGGTAATCCAGAAATCAACATCATTCTTTAAGGATTTTCTACTGTCCAAATTTAGATGAATGCTCTTTTTTGTTTACTCCATAGAACAGACATTATTAAAGGCATCAAATTTATTGTCAACATTAAGAAATGCCTTCTTAAATTATTTTTCCCACCTTCTTGGCTATCTAAACTCCTGTAAACATTCCAAAAATGTTGTATCCTCTTTGGAAAATATTTTTAAATAAATTATACAGCTTTTAAAGTGCATACTATGGTGAAATTATAAATATATGCTGACTGATCTTAATAATAATGGTCACTAATGTTATTTATTTTAATAACTTGAGAATCAATGGGAGATAATGATTCTCATGAACTCCTAAATATTTATAAATACTTTTTTATGACTTGTTATTATAAATATTTTTCTTTTGTTTTTAGGGATTAAACAATGTTATTGCTATAGACTTTGATTATAGAGAAGAATTCATCTATTGGATTGATTCTAGCAGACCTAATGGAAGCCGCATAAATAGAATGTGTTTAAATGGAAGTGACGTCAAGGTAATTAAATATTACAGTAATAAGAGTGCTGAATATTTTATTGCTATGATTATAATAGGGATATGTTCTTTGATGTAAATGAGGTGACTTTTAGTTTGTCTTACCCTCATTTCAATTTTACTGTGTAATTTAATAATAATTGCTTTAAATATGAAATAAGAACATTTTTATCCTTATGTTTTATTATAATGCAATTATTTATAATACCATAAAAATCAAATTAATAAAATAAAATTTGGAAACCAGTCCATATCCTTAGAAAATATGATGGATGTCTTTAGCTTGAATGATTTATGCTTAAGATTCACTCATGTTGATTTAAATACAAGGGGAAGTTGATATTACCATTTTAATTAAAAAATAAATATCAGAGTATTGATTGAAGTTGTAGCATTATTAAAATTAACCTCCTATAGATGGAAAAACTGCATGCATGTGATATGTGTAAAATCATGAATGTTCTGATTTGATAGCATCAAGATTAAATAAACATAACTTTCATATTATGAGCTATTTGATATGACTTTTCTGTTTTATGACTTTTCTGAGTTTTAAAACCAATTATAAGTACTATATATTTGCAACAAAATATACTATAAATAAGTTGTAAATTTAAGTAGATGAGACTTCAATTATTTTAACTTTTTTGTAACCATTCATAATATCACCAAACATTTAAAAGCAATCAATATTAAAATATTCATGAAATCTTAAAGTGTTCATACACAGAGGAATATTTCAACTTAATCGGGATAACTATTTAATAAAGGTTCATAAAATGAAATATCAGTATATGATAGTGATAAGAGATTGATTCTAGCAGATCAAGTGGATATATCGATCAAATTAGCAGATTTTTAAATTTTATAATTTAATTTTGACAATTGTATTAAAATTTTATGAATGTTACATTAGTTAAAGTTGACCATTTATTTTTATAAGAAATTAAAAGTTTTTATTACATTTTTTTTAGTTTTTGAAGATACTTCAATATATTTAAAGTGTGTTGTTTCTACTGCCATGCTAATAATACTCTATTATTTTAATCATAACAAATTAATAAATCCATGTTTTTGTCCCATGAGATTACTAATTCACTGATGTTCAGTTAAATAGCAGCCATGTCAATTTTCCAAATCTGCAATCTGGTAAGGAAAAAGGCATAAATATGCCTTGCAATCAACACAGAAGATTGATATCATTAATTGTTGCAAATATTCACATTGCCACTTTGCAAATTTATTATTGATGGCATTAGGGAAATTAATGAGTATAAAATTTAGCATTTTCTTTTCTTTAATTACACAACCATTGGTTTCTCTGCAGCTCCAAGATTCACTTGTTTCTCACATAGTTTGAAAGAACTGAGAACTTCGAAACACCTGTCATTGGGTGAAGATTTCACTAGAAATTTTATATAACACCAGATTTTTTTAACTCAGTATTTCATTTTATTTTTTAAATATTCTTTTTTTTATATATTTAAAAAAATAATGACAGCAGAATGCATTACAATTCTTATTACAAATATACAGCACAATTTTTCATATCTCTGGTTGTATATAAAGTATGTTGTACCAATTTGTGTCTTTATACATGTACTTTGGATAATGATATCTATCACATTCCACCATCCTTGCTAATCCCCTGCCCCTTCCTTTCCCTCCCACCCCTCTGTCCTATCACATCAGATTTTTAAACAGAAAGCCTATATCCTTAATATATTTGATGTTGTCATGGGTTATAATTGATAAGAGCAGTTGTATAAATATTTTTATTTCCCTTTCGTCTAGGATCAAATATTTTGTACACATTCTCATCTCTTGCTGTAGTTATTTTTAAGAGGGCAAGAGCAATTGGAAGAGTGGTGAATCCTACGGATTATAGCACAGAACCTGTTAAAAATTAATCATACCAACAATTTCTCCTATATGTTTGTGATATATTTTTGTTCCCTATTTTAAGAGAATGAATACATAAGCTCCAATGAAAACGTGAAAACCAATTGTACATCTGTCCATACATTCTTATTTCCGTTTAATTTTTTTTTTATTAAGACTGCTTCTAATTTCAGAGGGTGATTAGATATTAAGTAATTTCTCTCAAACAAGTAAGTATTTGTATTGTGGCCAATTGTTTTCTTCTTATCTAAATTACATTTCTCATGTTTTAAACAGATTTCTTTATCTCAGTAAAAATAATGAAGCGATTACTCAGTTTTCATTCTAGGCATTTATGCTACTAAGTTTTTAAATTCTTATTTTATTAGGTAGTGCATAATACAGCTGTCCCCAATGCACTTGCTGTTGATTGGATTGGAAAAAACCTCTATTGGTCTGACACAGAAAAAAGGATGATTGAAGTATCCAAACTCAATGGCTTATACCCTACTATACTCGTTAGCAAAAGGCTGAAGTTTCCCAGGGACCTGTCTTTAGATCCTCGAGCTGGGTTTGTAACTTTTTTTTTCTAACTTATCAATACATTTGCTGTGGAAAAGAATAAAACATATATATTTTATTAATTTTAGTTAATTTAAATCTTGAAAAAAGACAAGTGAAAAACAAACTTTTGAATCAAATGTTACAGTGTTGGTGGTGTTCACAAATATGAACAATGTAATTCCTGCACTGCTTTATAGCAGGAGATATAAGCAGTATTCATGGGTAATAAATGACAAAATGAATCATCAAATGCATTCAAGAGGAAAAGAAAGTGAGAATAATGGGAAAGTACATGTGGAGCTGTGTATCATTTGCATTTTAGTGTGAGGATGATGAAAAGTCATTGCAAGGTTCAAGGACAGCAACCTGGAAATTTCAGATGAGGGATGAATGCACATTAAAGTGCCAAAGCTGTCTGGTGTATAATTTCTAGAGTTCTATAGATTATGACCATTATCTGTCACATTCAATTATGTTGTGTTTGTAGGAAGAGAATACATACCTTTTCATTTTTTATACTATAATTTAGAGTGATTACATACTCCAAGATCATCTTTGTAGAAGTTCTACCTACCCAATGCATTTGTTAAAATAACAAATTTATAGAAAGTTTGACATTTTAAAATAGGATATAATTATAGTAGCAAGTATTATGAAAACACTAGTGTTTGTAATGTTTTACTGTCTAAATTAATTTCACAAACTATGTTATATCTAATAATTGCCATTTGTCATGCTGTTTGTAGCAGTTAGATTTTGCTTCCTGTTGTTATATGGTATCTCTGTTTTTTTGGTTCCTCAAGTTTATAATTGGCAATAGAACCTTTTATAGGTTAATTTAAAACATCAATTTGGGTAAAAGCAATATCTGTTAAAAGAAGAATTATGCTGTGAATGCAGTCGAATATCCAAAGTAATGGGCACATTTTCACTTTATATATATATATATATATGTATATATATGTATATATAATATATATATATATATTAATATATATATGGTATAAATATATATATTTTAATTGTTTTGTTGTCTTTTAAAATATTTTATTTGCCATGCAAAAGAAATTTCAAAAGTATCTCACTGTATTAAAATAGTATGTCTCTGAAACAGAGACATGAAAATCTGCTTCTATCAATGTTTCAGAAAATATGAGCCAAATGTATTAAATTTGGCTATCATCTGTATCAATTCATAAACATGAATATTTTAATTCTACTACTATTGTTCCACAAACTATTTTGAATGTTCAAAGACTTTTCTTTTTTTTTCTAAAGTCAATATAACTGGCACAGCTTCTCTTTTCATACCATATCAGTTGCTTGACTTTCTAATGAAAGAAACATTGCCTGTTACATAATAGTTGACTTATAGAATTTCCTGTTTATGAAGCAAAAACTGTATCCTAGCCTAGTGAATGCAGCTGAATGTAGTTTTATATTTTAATTCTTCCAGGTTGTGTTGTAAGAAGAGAATACTCCATGAACTGAAAGCAGCCTTAAGTTGTCAACTTAAACTCATCCATTATAAGTGTCAATTAAAACAGCAGAAGTATTCAATTATTATAGATGTTATGAAAGACTCCCTTGATTTTATTTTTGGATAATATTTGGATAAAATATGCAATTTGCCGTATTAAGAGCAAAGCATTGCTAAAAATTGGATATTTTTACAAAACAATTAAAACCACCTTTTTTAATAGCCATAATTTAGTGGCACACTTTTGTTCATGCTGTTTTCCTAGTTCCCCAGAGTGAGGTAAAAAGCAACCTGGATTTTAGCCTCTTATGAGATGAGCATGAGGCTGAAAATGTCTCCACTGTAAAAAAAAAAAAAAAAAAAAAAAAATGGTACAATGCAGCTTCAAAGTGAGAGCTTAAATTGTAAGATTATTTAATAAAAACATCTCACTATAAGAGTACACTGTGATTTGCATATAGTTTGAATATGCCAATACTATTGACCCCCATTTCCCAGTGAGTTGTTTCCTTTCCTGATATTTGGTATCAGGGATAAGACAAGGATTTACTTAATGATCACTGGAATGTCTAATGTAATGAAACAAATAAGCTGTTAGGCCATATCTTGGGGTTCCTTTCTATATTTTTTAAATTATATGCCAATTATAACAATCAATTTGTATGTAATAGTTACTAAAAACAGGTAGACAGATGGATCATCTTCTTGGTTATTACCTATCAGCTCATTTGTAATCTGAATTTTTTTCAAAAATTTATTCTAATTATCCTGTTATCCAGTCTAACTTATGAATGAGTTTTTAAATTTATAATAATATTGAGGTAATTAAATAATTTACATTAAATAGTTATAAAAATCATTGTTTATGAAAAATATGTATGGGCATTTTAAAACAGAATGGAGGATATAATATTATAACTATGTTGAACATAATTTTATCTTTTCTAATTATTAAGCTGTCACATTAGGTTATCATAGCAAAAGACCAATATGAATTATATTTCAGGATATGCTATCTATATCTTAGAATTTATATTAAAGTGAATGTGTGGTAGGCCTAGTTAACAGAACTAGAGTAATATGTAGCAAAGTTATATGGTGCACTTCAGAGCAGAAGATGTTTCTGGCAGAAAGAACAGGCTTTGTAGGAACACACAGAAACAGAAAAGAGCATATTATATCCAATCAATTACAAGGAACTCATAGGATTGGAACATATTCCACAACTATAGAGGTGTGGAACTGGTTCACTTTACAGAGTAAAAGAGAACCAAGAATAAGTCACAACACAAAACAACATAACAGAATGACAACAAATGAAACTTTCAAGACACCTGGCTTGGGCACATTGGTAAATAGAAGAGTAATTTTCCAGAATTAAGTGGCAGATTCCAGATAGAAAAATGACCATTTTATAAACCTATTGGGATTGAAAGTCCTCATATAAAAACAATGAAAATGAAAATAAATATTTTTTAGCATTTAATGAGTTAGGAAATTTTTATCTTTATTACTGTAGATGCACGTACTGTTTATGCAGAATCTCTAGAAAGACATGATTGTTTTTATTACTTTCCTTATAGCGTGTTTAAGAATTTTCAACTGGCTAATTGTCTTAGAATCATTTAATTAAAAAGCTATTGAGCTGCAGGTTCAACTCAGTTTTCAGTCATTGATTGCATATTTTTTCTTACTATATCTCTTTAGAGTTTCCCTATAACAAAATGACCTTGGATCATGAACATGTTTTGCTCCCTAAACAAGAGAGAAAAGAAAGAACCACAATTCTCTTATTTTTTTTCCATTTTAACAATAGTTATTTAAAAGTCATAAAAAACTAGAATATAGATGATGTGAGCTTTTAAAAATGGAGAAAACTGCCTAAATTATTATAAACATGGATTTTTAAAACACATATAGTGTTTATTTATTTATCTATTCATTCGTTTATGAATTTATTTTTGTTGCTGTGCTGGGATTGAATATGCTATGCAGAGCTTTACCAATGAGCTATAACCGTAGCCTCAGGTCTTATTTTAAAAGATGTTTTTCATGAATTTCTTTTCCTAAAAAACCTATCAGCAAATCTAAAGAAAATAATAGTAGACCCTAATTTGAATTTGAATATATATTAATAAAAATGTGAAGGACAAAAATAATGTGAAAGATATTTTAAATACTTGGTAACTGTATCCCTTATTGCCAATAAAGATAATAATCAAACAAATTTAGAAAGGCATATTTGATGAGTCTATATCTTAGTTTATACTAGTTCTTATTATTTCTCCAAGCAGAATACTACTTTTCTAAGATCAGCAGAAATATAATTTTCTCACCAGCAGAAACACTCCTGAAATGTGCCTAAGTGACCCCCACATATTGAACACTTACCATTATAGGACTATTTTTAGTGTAAATGTCTTATCTCTCCATCTAGAAAATGAGTAGCTTAACACAGAAACCATATTTTAATCATTGTTTTTACCTACCATAGAGACTGTTAAATTCACTGTTGACGAAAATAATAAATGGGTAACTGGAGTTACACAGAGAATGGGGTTATAGCTACAGGGACACTGCACCTGCTCCTATGCACAAACTGGTACATTGATATGTAAATAACCTGCATGTTTCAAAGAGAAGTCATAAGGGAACTTTCATTGTGAGAGAATGAAAAGCATACCAGGATGAAAATTCAGTTTATTATTTTTGCAAGGAAGCACAAAAATATTTCATCAAACTTTACAGTCACATACAAAAAATATTTTCCACCAATTTTTAATTTTTATTCACAGCTGATTTCAATATTCCTATATTTGGGTAAAATTCATAGGGAGTGAATATAAATGATTAATTTTATAATTCAGATTAGAAATAATTACAAGTGGAAGAAGCTTTTCTAAATTTATTGCCTGATTTTAGAAAAAAATAAAAGCTGTGAGAAGACTTCTACTTAATTCATTTTAAAGAAAAATAATGTATTATGTTCAACTATAAAAGACAACCTCAGAATCCAGAAGCCTGTTGTTATGGTTACGAGCAGACATTCTTTTATATGTTTATACTTGGTTATAACTTACACAATAGGTACTATTTGGAGCTGAGATTTTTCTTACATGGTCTTTGGTAAATATTGCATATTATCTAGATAGAATTTGAGCTCTTCTTTCAACATTTTCACTGATGTCTTATTTTTTTTCTTTAATTATTTACAACAATTTTTTTTCACAAAGGTAGTTATTTAGGGGTTGTAGTTTACAAAGCAAAATTATCATTTTGTTTAGTGTAGACTTATTTACATATTTGGAATAAAATAGTAAATGAGACTTTTTTGAAAAGAAGTGATATTTCGCCATTAGAAGTTAGCTAACTGTTATTGAAATAATAAATTCTTATTAATATTGATATTTTATTCATTTAAATTATACTTTGTTCCATGTTGTGGAATATTTTCAAATATTCTTCTGACTGATGAGTACTTAAACTGGCAAATATGTAAGTAATAACATATATAAAATCCATCTATATCATATAATAATGTACATGCAATCTGGAGGCAACAGGAAACAGTATTCTATTAAACCAAAAAATAAATCAATGCACATATTCATATCCAAAGTAGTTTAAACACTAGCTATTATTTGCTAAACATTTGCTATGTGCTTATCAAAATTCTAAGTTTGGGGACTGGGGCTGTGGCTCAGGGATAGCTCTTGCCTCATACATGTGAGGCATTGGGTTCAATCCTCAGCACAATGTAAAAATAAATAAATGAATAAAGATATTGTGTCCATCTGCAGCTAAAAAAATTAAAAATTTAAAAAATCTAAATTTGTCTTATGCATCTCATTTAATCCTCAAAATGACCCTATTTTAAAAAAACTATTATTGACTCTTTGGGATTTGAATAAATCTAAGATCAGGGGAGATAACTAAAACTTCCAGGTTCACATAGCTAATAATAGGAGGACCTGGGATTTGAATTCAGGTAATCTGTATTTAGGATTTAATGACTGATGACTTTCATAATGTTGTTAGAAAAGAAGCTAGTCTAAAAGTAAGTAACTTACTACAGAAATGAATACTTATTCCAGTTACAGTGCTATCATAATCAAAAAAGCATAACCTTGGGCTGGGGATGTGGCTCAAGCGGTAGCGCGCTCGCCCGGGTTCGATCCTCAGCACCACATACCAACAAAGATGTTGTGTCCGCCGAGAACTAAAAAATAAATATTAAAAATTCTCTCTCTCTCCTCTCTCACTCTCTCTTTAAAAAAAAAAAAAGCATAACCTTTTAGGGTCTCACTTGATCAGTACATTTATCAGTGAAGTCCTTAATGACATACATAATTTATAATAACTGTTGCAAAATTAAATCTTTTTGTTTTGTTTTGTTTTGTTTTTTGGTACCAGACATTGAACCCAGAGGTGCTTAACCACTGAGCCATTCTTTATTTATTTTGAGCCAGGATATGGCAAGGTAGCTTAGGGCCTCACTAAGTTGCTGAGGCTGGCTTCAAACTTGCAATCTTCCTGCCTCCGCCTGCAGAGCTACTGGAATCACAGGCAGGTACCCCATACAAAGCCAAAATTAAATCCTAAATTTGACATTTTCCTAAAATCTAACAGAGAGATCATTACTTTTATGGAATTTCTAAGCTAGTTTAAAAAATAAGATTTTCATTAAGAGACTGATAATGAGCACAAGCCATCTTAGAAATGCCTCCCTCCTTCGAGGTAAAATTTACTTCCATATTTTGTAGTTCTGTAGTAAAATAGTTCTATCTTCATATGTTTTAATTTTTATTTAATTTTTATACTTTCAAAAAAATATGCCTCTACTGAATCCACAGAAAGATCTTTCAAGGCAAAAGTGTCTACCTCCATCCCCCTAGTACTTAGAATTATCTGCTATATAAAATGGTCTCTGTCAATCATTATTCAAAACAAATTTGTCTATCTGCTTAATTAAGCATAGCTTTGGAATTTATCAGAAATGTTCCATCATTTACTCTTAGGATACAGTTCTCTGATTATGAGTCATGAGAACCTATATCATCATGTGTGGTTCAGTGACACTTGTAACAAAGAAAGGAGATTCTGTAGACCAGAAGTGACTAAAGCACAATTTCCCCAGTACAATAATTCTATGAGTTTTCTAAGAAAATAGATGTATGACTCCAAACTATCTGATTAACAAGAGATCCTGCAGCTCCTCTTAGAGAATCACAATGCCATTTGCATAAGGGTTCTGAGGAATCCTACAAAACACTTCTTAAATATACTTGATCTTTTAACCTACCTTGAAAATGTGAACTAACACTAATCAAGGAATAATTTGTGGAGAGCAGAGGGGGCAATGTGAATTACATCTTCATGAAGATATATTTATAATTGAAGAGTCATCGGGCCAGGCAAATGACATGAAAGCACAGAAATAAAAAATGTGAGATCGTAATTAAAAAAATTAGGCTAGAGCTGAATTTCTCACATTTTGATAGTAAATTGGAGGATATTTGAGCTAAATAAATAATGAAGGGCTCAAATATCAGGGAGAAGATGCAGCTATGGGCCTCCCACCAGACTTGAGAGTGCTGTATCAGATGTGAGACACATACTTTTTCTATTCTTATTATCTTGGTTGCTATGATGATTCTAACCAGATAAAGTTCATAATGCAGATTAAAATTAAGAACTGAACTCCTGTGGAAATTAGACTATTAGAAACTTACAATTTACCTAAAGGACTCAAAAGCATTATTATTCACATCCAACAATTTCCAACACTTTTGTTGAAATCATCTAATATAGAAATCTCTCTTTTCATCTCTAAGATATTTTAATTGTAGGGGCAAAAATCTGTAGAGGTTATAGCTGAATACAAATAGAAAGTGTATCTTCAATTAAAACTATTTGGAATTTTTAATATTACATGTAAACATTTATATTTTATTCATTTATGCCCATTTGTTAAAAAAATTATGTGTGAAAGGACAAATAAGTCTAATTGTATCTAACCCTTTAGAGAGAAATTGATGTAAGCATATCACATTTAATGGGAAAAACAATTAATATATCAGTATTCCCAAGATTCAGGCTCAGTAAGGCAAGTAGGCATATCCTGATTAAAGATAAACTACATCTCATTATGACTTTTTTTCTGATTTTTTAATTTTGTATCTGACATTATCTCTTCTTTAGAAGGAAAGGTACTCCTCCATAAATTCATTGTAGAAAAGAATGCATGTGTGTTTTTCTGGAATACATATTTCACTGACATATACTGTCTTTTAAAAAATAACTAAAAATAACAACTGAGCGCAGTGTCACCTGCCTGTAATCCTAGCTGCTCTTGAGGCTGAGACTGGAGGGTCATGAGTTCAAAGCCAGCCTCAGAAACAGTGAATTGCTAAACAACTCAGTGAGACCCTGTCTCTAAATAAAATACAAGATAGGTCTGGGTATGTGGCTCAGTGGTTGAGTGCCCCTCAGTTCAATTCCTGGTACCAAAAAAAAAAAAATGCTAAAAATAGTGCAATATTAAAAAAAATAGAACATTCTTTTTGAAAGAGCATGGCATCTACTATTACTTGATGATTTGGAATTTTTAAAATATCTTCAGAATTGATGTAGACAGGTATTTGGAAGCATTTATAACAATTCCAGTAATGACTCAGGAGAGGCTGACTTGAGATTTCCTGGATAAAGTTTAAGTTTTCATTCTTAGAGCTCTCTTTGAACCTCTGCTTACAAGTTTCCACCTTTAGTTTAGTCCTTACAAGAGATATATTTCTGCTTTTATGAACCATAATTCATTAGTGTGTCAATGGCATTTTTGTTATCAAATAATTATTTTATTATCCATGTACTCCATGCCTTTATACATACCCTAACAAGATGATCAACACAAAATATTCTCAAGTTATTTATAATGATTATTTCCATCAACCTGCTATTTAATAAGTGGATTTTCCAGAAAACCATTATTTCTTTTGTATTGTGAAGTAAAATATCAGAATATAATTATCTTTGTCAAAATTATAAGGAAAAAACTGTTTAAAGGACATTTCGAATCTCAACTAAATATCTCAGCACATTTTTAAATCTGAAGAATTAATTGTGCCAAGGATTAGACTTGGCATAAAGAAAGGATGAAACCTAGAAAAACCTTTCTGGGTTAATAGAATTAAATTTCAAATTTGAATATGAAAAAGACATAAAAAGTCTTTTAATTCAAATCTTCAATTATATAGATAATGAAATGTATCCTATATAATCAAATAGAGTGACTTTTCTTACATTTGAGGGAAAAGCTGAAAAATAATGAAATTTCTGAGTGATATGTCAGCTATTTGTATTTTATGGAATACAATATTTATATTTAACTTATCCTAATTAGTATCAATAATATTAATATTACTTTTATTTTATTGCCCCTGCCATGTGTGGAATGTCCTACTGTGGAACTTGCAATAGCATAATTTAAATCAGTGCTCTCCTATAGAACTTTCTGTGGTGACAGGCATGTTCTTCATCTTTGCCATTATATAGAATACCCACTATAGATGCATGGTCATTGGACATATAATATATACCTAGCATGAAGAAGAATCTAGTTTATTAAATATTATTTGATACAATATAGTTTATTTGATTAAGTACAGTTTAAACTTTAACAGTCACTGGCTAGGGGCTACCACATTGACAATGCATATTCAAGTAAATGAAATGCATCCTTCTATTGGTTTTTTGAATTTTTCACCTATGAGAAACCAAAGTAACAGATTGGTGAATAGATATGTACATACATACAAACATAGAAGTAAACACAGATTTAGATAGAAATTTCTCCAATGTTGTAGATGTCTTTTTGAAATGTACATTTGTTACTTTGGGACATCTATAATATATTAACACTTGTAAAATATCTTATTCTATATATAATATTTTTAAGGGAAATGTATAAATTAAGTGAATATTTTAAACCATTCTATGTGATTAGTTTAAAAATTCACAAGAAAAAATTTACATTGAAGGATTTCTGTGAGATCTATAATTCAGAGACCTATAATTCAAAAATTAATTTAGGAATAACAAAGCAAAAAAAGAATGAAATATCATGTGATATTTTTCTTCCAGAATGCTGTAAACAAAATGGCTATTGATTTTCTTTCCTAGGTATTTGTATTGGATTGACTGCTGTGAGTATCCTCACATTGGCCGTGTCGGAATGGATGGGACCAATCAAAGTGTTGTCATAGAAACAAAGATTGCTAGACCTATGGCACTAACAATAGATTATGTCAACCAAAGACTCTACTGGGCCGATGAAAACCACATTGAATTTAGCAACATGGATGGATCTCATAGACACAAAGGTTGGCAGTATACATGAGTCATTATTTTACCAGTGCATAAAATGTTCCTTTAGAAATACATATTTCATTTATATGCTTTCTCCTATCAAATACATTTCTTAATTTAAGGTTTCATTATTACAATTTTTTATGAAAGCATAAATAAATTAGAATTGTATATATTTATCAGAAGTTATATAATTTATACATAAAAATTTTGATACTTCATGCTTTTTCAAATTATTTTTTCCTAAATTTATAGTAAATGTGTGCTAGTTTTATAAATGAATATATTCATATATCCCAGCTGATTTGGAAGAACAGAATATTTTCTTCTAAATGTGAAGTTTTATTGCAATCTGATAGAATATCAGTTTTCCTTTTAAAACCTGAGTAAATATAATTCTTAAAAATTATTTATATATTCTAATTTGTTATATATGATGGAAGAATGCCATTCATTTCATATTATAAATATAGAGCACAAATTTTCAAGTCTCTGGTTGCACACAAAGTATTTTCACAGCATTCATGTCTATTTATTAGACAATAAATGCAATATGGATAAATATGATATGGATATAGTGGAAACTACAAAGGATCCAAATTACCCTCAAATATTTTAAATACACAAGCTTTCTAAGCTTATATTTTTACTGAATCAAGAAGTAAAATGTTTCTTTATTATTTTTGGTGACCTAATTTCCCCTTTACTCTCAAGTGTTTTCATTTCTAAATATTGCATAAAATATAACTTCTACAGAGTATTCCCAAATAAAGTCAACCTGTTAGAATGGCCTATCCCAACAGATTGATTTCTTCTCTGGTATTAAGATTATCACAGAACTCCTAAAGGAAGGCTTAGGAAAGAAGAAAAGCTTTTTGTCAAAAGTCAGATGAGACCATGAAACATTTCCATGTGAAGTCCTGAGAAGTATGAAGACCCTGAGTTTCAAAAGGAAAAAGCAAACAAACAAACCAAGAAATGTAAAAGGTGCTGAGGCCACACCACTTTGAATTTTACCTTAATTTCTCTGAGTTGATATGTAATCAGATACATCCTTTTAAATAAAAATGCCAACAAAGTTTTTAAAGGTGCTTTCTTAAGGATAAGAGCATTGAGGTATGATGAGTATATTTGGATGAATCATTTATTTAGTGTTGACATTCCAATTATAGAGATAAAATATTCATAAAAATGCAATTTGAGTGAAGAATTCGAGATTACTTTAGGATTTTAATTAAAGCAAAAGTAATATTGAAAAATCAAAAATCACACTTTGAGTTCAGAAGTTAAATCTCACCCAAAGAATCAAATGAAATATTCTGCATAACTCTCAGAAGATATAATTGAAATTTTTTTTGTGGCAATTAACTATATAACCATGAACCTGCGCAATTTTAGCATTCATGAAGAGCACAAGGTTGTTGCAAATATATTAATTTGAGCTAAATTTTAACTATACAACAAAGTTACAGAAACTTTTGTTTCATAGGTAAATGTTTAAAAATATACCATGGTGTAAAATACTTACGTATATTTTAGTTGAGCCTTTTATGTTTGTGTGTCAAAAACTACTTAAAAATGCTAGGTTCATGAAAAACTATCCATTACACCCTCTGGTTATTGTTTTAAAAGTGTACAATGTATAGGCAACTAATCTTCTGAAAAACAATACAAAATTAAATGCATATGAACAAAGTATCCTTCAGTCATGGTACTGGTAATGTCTTCAGGTAGAAGAATTTATATATCAGAGAGAAATTGTACAAAATGTATTAAGGAACAAATTATCTGGCTGACAAATAATCCAGCTTAATGTTATTTTTTAAAAAAAATTGATTTAGAAAATATCTTGAGGCTCAAAAAGGGGAGAAAAGAAAAGTAAGAGATTTTTTCCTTCAGAAATATTTTCTTCTGAAGCTTCTCACAGAAAGACTAATGAAAAATTCATTAAGTTCCTTGTCAGGCATCTGCCAATACCTGAGTACACAGGCCAATAATTAGCTGGTAGTTACTAATGAGGTGCTAAATGTAGCTACCCTGAATTATGCTAACTTCACAGCCAATGAAAGAAAGAGACCTTCATTTGTCATATTCATAAAAAGGAACTGGATTATTCTCCTCTTTGCACTTGTCACATAAACAAAAGAGGATGCTGTGCATATTTGTAGGTGGAAAATGAGATTTTTATATCAATAACTTCTATGTTACTTTGGTCACTGACCTCTTGTTTTCTCTGATAAGACCAGTATTATTGTTCTCACTTATTTTAATTTTGTTAAAATTGCAATCCAAGTTAGCCAGAAGAATGTACATGTTACTCATGAAAGTAATTTGAGAATATGAAGAGTGAGAAATTTCAGAACAATGACCCTTTTTCATAAGCCAAATTTTAATGGTGGAAAAAAGTTAACCCTTGAATAAAATTTTATGATTTTAAATGGCCTTATTACCAAATGCATTCTTATTTAAACAATAGAGTAATTCCATATAGTAAATGAAGTATTATTTGTTATCATTTATTATCATTTGCCCAACCTAAGAAACTCTGAAGTTTCTAAGTTCTATGCCTTAAAATTTTAGATTATATCCAAGGTAGATAATGTCTTGTAGTTTGCTTGTGAATTTCTATTTCTCTTCTTCTGCTATATCCTCAACTCCAACTCATCTTTCTACCAAATACAAATACAACATTGTAAAATTAAGTCAAAAAAGAAGAAGAAGAAAAAAAAAAGTTCACATACAGTAGTTTGGAATGTTGCTAGTTTAGGAGCATGAGGGCAGACTCTTGGTCACATGACTTTTTTCCTAATTCCTATTCTATTGTATTTTACTAAAATATAAAATAAGGTGATATAATAGTAATATTATGATAATACAATGCAGTATGCTATATGCTACTGGGTTATTACATCAGGTAGCTTCTTTTAAATTACATGCTCATTGGTTCATTTTGAAACTTTTTTTCTGATTTCTTTTCTGTTGCTTTCCCCATTCATTCATTCATTCTTCATTCATTCAACATTTACTCACCTGTCTTTCTGTTCCATGCATTATGCTATGCCTTGGAGTTTGAAAGACAAATAAATTCCTGTCTTCAAAACAAAGTTCAATGGGGGAAAAGTGATATTCAGGTAATGACATAAATTAGATTGGGGGTAGAAATATATGCAAAACATTGTCTGAAATGCAGACAGGAGTAGGGAAGACCTTGTGGAAGTGAGCAGTCTGAGAGGTTTAGTAAAAGTTCCTTTATAGGAAAAAGAAGAAGGGATTCTTCACACAGAGGGAATGGCATGTGCAAAGATGTAATGGGGTTTTGAAACAGCATGTGGTTTACACAATTTGGCTATGACTGGAAGTCATATAAGAGGGAGATAATGACACTAGATGAACAAGAGCAAATTGGGGCCAGACTGTGACAAGCTTTGTGTGCTATGTAATTTGGAATTTATCCTTTGGGTCATAGGGAGCCATTGATGGTGTTTAGCTGATAGAGTGCTGTTATTAGATTTGACAACAGCATGGAAAATGAAAGACCCTGGAAGGGCAACCAATTTAGAGACTGTTAAAATATTTTAGGAGAAAATGCTTGAAGTCATTATAGCTGTGGGACTAGGGATACAGTGTTAGATTCAATAGTAATTTAGCAGAAAAAATCGGAGAGATCTGTAATATTAAAATAGTAGAAATATGGGAGCTGATTTGTAAATAATACGTGAATGATTTGCAGTATTATTCACTTATGGGGAAAAGAATTACCATTTTTATATCTATTAGTTTCATATATATTCATATATTTTTAAAGAATTAAATGTACTAATGTGAGCCCAACTTAAATGTTCTTACTGAATCTTAAAACTGTTTTGCTGAGAGACTTCTTTTTTGTTTGTTTGTTTGTTTGTTTGTTTGCTTGCTTGCTTATTTTGTCAGAGGGAATTGAACCCAGGGCCTCAGACATGCAAGGAATCCTCTCTAACACTGAACTGCATCCCTAGTCCAAGATGTGCATTAATTTTGATAGCAGGATCAGGAAGACAGCCATTTTTAAAATGTGGTTAAAAGTATGCTCTATTGTAGCTTTCCTTAAAATGCATTTCAAAACACCTAATAATTTACCTAGAAGAGCAACTAATAAAAAAAATGCAGATAAGTGAAACTCTGTCCTTCTCCTGTTCTTGAAACACAAAATAGTCCTATTGAGGGACTTGCAATTTGAAGAATCTCTTCAGATTTTCATTTTTATATATATATATATATATATATATATATATATATATATATATATATATATAGAGAGAGAGAGAGAGAGAGAGAGGAGAGAGACAGAGAGACACACACACACACACAGAGAGAGAGAGAGAGAGAGAGAGAGAGAGAGAGAATAGTTCTTAATATGATTCTAAATATGTGAATAATACTATTTTGTAAGTCTGTATCTTTAGGTCTGATCTTTACTGCCCACATTCACAGATAATTACGGAATTTTAGGCTTTTGTTTTGAATAAGAAGAAATAAAACTTTGCTGACGTACAAATCTTTAACTGAAATGTGGAGAAAAAAACCTTTCAGGGATTTTAAAGTTTGGGAAACCTAAAATGAGAGTGGGTTTGGGATAGGATCAACTGCTACCTAGCTTCTGTACCCTGAACAGTGTAGATAATTTCCACAAGTCTCAGTTTCCTAATCTATTGAAATAACAGTGTTGAGAAAAATGGCATCAAAGGGAATTTTAGAACTATAAATGAAACCTCCAACTAGGTGAGTCAAACAACATTTTTAGAATCATTGCCAAACTTCTAAGTTTTAATCTCAGATTAGTCTTCAATTTAAGCCTGAGGGAATTTGGAAATCTAAAATAATTAGGTGCTTTTAATTTAGTCTTGATGAGACTCTCAAATTTCCAATTCAAGCCCCAGTTCTCCCTGAGTATTATCATAACAGTTATTAACATCTTTTAATCTTTGTGAACCCATCAAATTAGTGAATATTCTCTTTTTAAAATTAAATTTATTTT